TTGTCTTCCTTTTGTTGAGTTGTATGAGCACTCTCTATATATTGGAAATTAACCCCTTATCTGATATATTATTGGCAATTATGTTCTCCCATACAGTGGGTAGCCTTTCGTTTTTGATGATTGTATCTTTCGCTGTGCAGAAGCTTTTGAGTTTGATGTAGTCCCATGTGTCCATTTTCTCCTTTGTTTCTATTGCCTTAGGTGATGTATCCGTGAAAATTCTGCTGCGTATGATGTCTGAAATTTTGTTGCCTACAGTTTCTTCTAGGATTTTTATGGATTCATGAGTCACATTTAAGTCTTTTATCCATTTTGAGTTTATTCTTGTGTAGGGTGTAAGTTGATGCTCTAGTTTCATTTTTCTGCATGTAGCTGTCCAATTTTCTCAACACCATTTATTAAAGAGGCTGTCCTTACTCCACTGTATGCTCTTGCCACCTTTGTCAAATATTAATTCAGCGTATTGCCTTGGGTCCATTTCTGGGTTCTCTCACTTGTTTATTTTTGCTTTTGTTGTCTTTGTTTTAAGAGTCAAATTAAAAAAATCATTACCGAGACCTGAGGCAAGGAGCTTGCTGCCTATGTTTTCTTTTGGGAATTTTATGATTTCAGGTCTTACCTTCCTGTCTTTAATATATTTTGAGTTAATTTTGTGTATGGTATGAGAGATTGGTTTTGTTTCATTCTTTTGTGAGTATCTGTTTAGTTTTTCCACCAGATATTGAAGAGACTGTCCTTTTCCCACTGTATATTCTTGGCTCCTTTGTCATAAATCAATTGGCTGTATGTGTGTGGGTTTATTTCTGGGCTCTCTATTCTGTTCCATTGATCTATGTGTCTGTTTTTATTCCAGTACCATACTGTTTGATTACTATTGCTTTGTAGTATAGTTCGAAATCAGGTAATGTAATGCCTTCTACCATGTTCTACTTTATTAAGATTGCTTTGGCTATTTAGGGTCTTTTGTGGTTCCATACAAATTTTAGAGTTATTTGTTCTAGTTCTATGAAGAATGCCATTAGAATATTGATAGGGATTGCATTGAATCTGTAGATTGCTTTGGTTAATATGGGCATTATTTACAATAGCCCAGAAATGAAAACAACCTAAATGTTCATCAATAGATGAATGGATGAAGAAGATGTGAGATACACACACACACACACACACACACACACACACACACACACACACACACACACTAGATTATTACTCAGCCATAACAAGAAGGAGATCTTGCCATTTGCAACAATGTGGATAAGACCTTGAGGATATTATGCTAAGTGCTAAGTGAAATAAATCAGACAGACAGACATATACCATATGATTTCACCTAAAAGTGGAATCTAAAAACTAAAACACAGGAACAAACCAAATAACAAAACTCACAGATACAGAGAGCAGATTGGTGATTGTCAGAGGGAAAGGGGGTTAGGGGGTAGGTGACATGGGTAAAGGGGGTCAATTGTGTGGTGATGAATGGCAACTAGACTTATTGTGGTAATCACTGTAGTGTATACAAAGATCAAATTATTATGTTGTACACCTCAAACTAATATAATGCTATGTACCAATTTTACCTCAACTAGGGAAAAAAGAGTACCTAAGCTGATACACTGTTTTGGTTCACAGTTGTACTTACCTTGTCAAGAATAACTATTTGTTTGTAGAAACGAGTTTTCCTTAGGTTATTGTAGTCATTCTGTTCTACTTTTAGTAAGAAATAACATTCCTAAGCTTTACTATCCTTACACTTTATTATTGTGTAGTATTCCTTAGGTTATTGTAGTCATTTTGTTCTACCGTTAGTAAGAAATAACATTCCCAAGCTTTACTATCCTTAAACTTTATTATTGTGTATTATATGGTGGTAAAATAGAACCCGTTTACTGTTTCTTCTAGAATTTGTCTATAAATTTGTAGCTACCAGCAATTCTTTATAGAACAAGGTAAATGAACATTGACAGTCAAAAGATCTTACTATCAACAACTGATGGGCCTTTATAATTGGACCACGAAGAGAAGGCTGCCTTCCTGTTTGGCTAACACTCCCTCTTTGGGGCATTAGTGGGAGCTTCAGTTGTACCGTCTGCACAGCCCAGCTGCTTTCCCTGGTTTATCGTTAGCTTTCAAGTGATCACACTTAGGCTCTGGTCTCATTCTCATTAAGAAGGTCGCCTATTTGGGGGATTAGAGGAAGATTCTGGAAAGTAAGATAATAGGGCAGGAGAAGATTTTTCTGGGATAAAAGGCTCCTCAGGGCTCTGACAATATGGAGGAGGGAAGAGAGGGAAAGAGAGGGGAGCAGATTTTCCTCGTTCAGGTGTTAGTTTAAGGTGAGTATGATCTCGATTTATAAAGTATATGCAACTCGATGCTTAATAGATTTGGGTCTATTATATTTATACCACGTTATGTAAATGCTGCCCCTCCAAGTATTTTCTTAAATCCTCTTAACTTATAAACGACAACTTGCATTTCTTTTAAAAAAAAATCTTTCATGTATCCAGCCTAAGCATCGTAAACAATAGATGCTGAGTGCCCTCTTTCATGCCAGCCCCCAAAGCCTGATACTCATATTCTAAAGAGTTGATTGCTGTGCTTTTGAGCTTATTAAGGTCATGTGCAACTCAAGGGGGAGCCAGCTGATGCTGCATTACTGGTGTCAAGGCAGCTCCTGGGTTCTGCATGGCATGTCCGCTCAGCAGAGCCCAGGGGGTAAGATCGCCGTATGGTCTTGCAGAATCTCCACGCATGGCCCCTTTGGAGTGATTTGTACTCCTTTTTTCTAGTGATCAACAGTGGTAGGGAATTAGACTTCTGCCTGAGTGATCGTGGATGACATTTCTGCTGAAGTGCTCTGGGATGGCAGCAGAGGGATGGGTGTGAGCTAATGAAGCTACCTGTTAGGTGTGGTGAGCCATTTCCCCCATAGCCGCTTGGTGACATCAGTTATTTTATGTCTTTATTAACAATGTCCCCACTCTCTGGGACCTTCAGAACACAGGCGGAGAAGAGGGAAGAATAAGAAATGAGGCTTGACTCTGGTCAGTGTAAATCACTGGGTCCTTGGAGGGTGTCATGTATGCGGGAAGTGTTTGTTAAGAGCTGCGTCTGTACTGGACTGGTACACTGCGCTGGACTACTAAGGAAACAGGCACGGGCAGGATCAGGAGTGCCCGCAGCCTGTAACCAGAGAACACTGGAAAACACAGGGGTAGAAGCCGTGGGTTTCAGAAGCTGGGGCAGCCCATGAGAAGCTCTCTTCTCAAGGTCATTTATTTGCCAAGCGGTTGATGCTTACGTTTCCTTTGATGCGTAAGCATCAGAGAGCCCTTTGCAGTTGCTCAGATGACACAGTGGTGTGTCGAGTATTTGAGGATCTCACATGAGTGGCGAGAGAAGGGTGTCTGCCCTCCAAGGCAGTGCTCAGACCACCAGGGGACTGCTGCTGGGGAGCAGTCAGCAGATCCCGAGAGGGGGCAGAAATGCACTGTGTAGGCATGCCTCGCTCACAATAAAGAAAACAGACAGCGCTGGCTTGGTCCCCTCTTACCCACCTGGGCTCATCTAGCTGGCACATACCTAAGAACCAATAACTCTATAGAAGATAGGGAAGTATTCGTGCACAGATGCGTCCACACAAGCCTATCTGTACTTATATAAGCAGATTTGGAGATTGAGGTTCTAAACTGCTTTGTAGACGTTGAAAGCAGAAAATTACAAGGAGAAGAGAAATGTATCTAAAAGGAATGGCCTAGAAATAGTATGATAAAGTGACAGTTAACACTTTTAAAGGGAGAAATAAAGAAGATGGAAAACTGACAAAGAGGAGATGTAATCGCGCTGAAAGCATCGCCAGCCGTTTCACGTATCATCAGGCACGGTAGACTCACGGCGGGGGAGATGCCTGAGATTTCCAGGGCAGAGGGTTGGAGTCGGAAGTTGTGAACTGTTTCCCTAGTGATTTTCCCGTAGCCCCCATTTGTGTATTTCTGTACTACAGAGAGTAAGGCAATTGATGACCCTTAGTCATCAAGAGATGTTATACTCTGCTTTGACGAAGACAAATGTATCTACAGCTCTTAAAATATTCCCAGTCACAATGGTAAAATTAATTCTTTGATGCTTTAAGCATCAAATCCTCAGCCTGTTGAAAACCTTGGTGCTGTAGAGTGTTCCGTTTTCTGAAAGACTGACATTTTGCTGCATGGAAAAAATTACACCTTGTGGAAAATACTAATTTCTATTATAAAAAAGTCACAGTTACTTTATAAGCAGTAAACTCTTATAGCAGTTTATAAATAACACTTTATGTATATTATTTAGTTATTAAAATGTGACTTGCATCTTTCCAGAAACATGTCCAAACATCCGCATCACTTTGTATCTTTACCTCTCCTTTGCCATATATTATTATATTATTTTGTTTGCTAGGTCATATATTTGTAATCCATCTTCCTGGACAAATATATATCTATATCTATATCTATATCTATATCTATATCTATATCTATCTCTCTCTCTCTATATATATATATATATTTTTTTTTTCTTTCGTAATGTTTCCAGCTTCTTGTCCATAGCAGGTCTCAATAAATACTTATTGAATGACTAATAATGAACCAAGTAATGCTGAACTATCTAATTAATCCTTCACTGCCCATGTAAATACTTTCCATTATCCTTTTCCTCCTGTGTTCTCACACTAAAATCTTTATGGCATATGAACTGCATTTGATGATTAGAGCCGTCTGAACACTTGAACTGCTTCTTCCGGCGTTGCTTTCCCCGTGCTGAACTGAAGGGCAGAAGCAGCGTGAGGCGTTGTGGAATGTGAATAGGTTACAGGCTTCAGATGAAGCTCTGAAGTGTGTTCTTGAGGCAGGTGTGTTCTTGCCTTGATGGGGTCACTGAAGTCAGGCCAGGGGCCGCTGGGGAGGCATGCGTTGCAGCTCTGAGAGGATGCTCACCTGCGCTCACTCTGTCATTGGCCCCAGGTGACTGTGGAGGAGGTCATGACCACAACGGCGTATCTGGACCTATTTCTGCGCAGCGTCTCGGAGCCAGCACTACTTGAGATCTTCCTCCGTTTCATCCTGTTGCACCAGCACGAGAATGTCCACATCCTAGACACTCTCACGAGTCGAATCAACACCCCATTTCGGGTAAGATTTTAGGAGAGTTTTGATTTGGAATAAGATTATGAGTACCCTCCCCCCCTTTTCCTTGCAGCTGTTACCTTTCCTATTTTAGAACTACATCATGCATTTTGCTAGTAGAAGCCCTTTTGTCAGAGAGCTGGCACTTCCTTCCTTTCATAGGACATTTTTCTCAGTTTCTGGGTGGGCACTCCCTTCTGTGGAAGGAGCAGAAAGTGCCCCTGAGGAGCATGGTGCAGGGGGCACGGGCATGAGCGCAGGCAAAGCCAAAGACAGAGTGTGGCGCGTCTGGGTGTTAGAGAGTGTGTTGCTGTCCTCAGGTGTTTTGAAATGGAAGTCTGGGCAGCTGTGAATTTAGGAATTCATTCTAGATCAACTTTGGAAACCCTCTTACACTATCAGTGTTGCCCTTTGCACCCCTCACCCCCCGCCAAGGGCTATCTCTATTTAATTACAATTGTTGTTTTAAAAGTAAAAGAATAATAACTTAACAGTGTAACATATAGATATAATGTGTACAACAATAATAGCACAGAAGGGGGTTAGAAGGAGTAGAGATATATAGCAGTAATATTTCTCTGTTTCATTGGAACTAATGTAGTATAAATCTGAAGTAAAGTCTGGTCAGTTAGGATGTATATGGTAAGGCCTAGAGCATATAGTGAGCCCTGGCCGGTGTGGCTCGGTTGGTTGGAGCATCATCCTGTATGCCAAAAGGTCACGGGTTTGATGACCAGGTCAGGGCACATACCTAGGTTGCTGGTTCAGTTCCCGTCAGGGTTAGTACAGGAGGCAACCCATCAATGTTTCCCTCTCTCCCTTCCCTCTAAAAACAATGAACATGTCCTCAAGTGAGGATTTAAAAATGTATATATAGCTCTAGCCAGTTTCCCTCAGAGGTTAACAAGTATTGGCTCTTGGACTGAAGTGTCGCAGGTTTGATTCCCAGTCAAGGGTGTGCACCTGGGTTGCAGGTTCGATCCCCAGCCCCGGTCAGGGTTGTGTGGGAGGCAATCAATGTGTTTCTCTCCCATCCATGTTTCTCTCTCTCTCCGCCCCCCTCCCTTCCACTCTGCCTAAAAATCAAATATCCTCAGGTGAGGATTAACCAAAATAAATAAATAGAAAAAATTATTAAAGGAATAAAAATGTTATACCAGGGAAAATATTTACATAATACAAAACAAGACAGTAACAGAGGAATAGGAGAACAAAAACCCATGAGACATGAAGAAAACAAAAAGTAAAACAGACAGAAATCTAATTATAACAATAATATTAAATGTGAATAGGTTAAAAAACTTAATTGAAAGGCAGAGATTGTCCGATTGAATAAGAAAAGAAGATCTAATTATATGCCATCTATAAGTGATATACTTCAGATTCAACGATATCAATAGATTGAAAGTTAAATTCCTAAACTAGTGAACTGAACCAAATAACTGATAATACACATAGACTAACCTTAAAAAATAATTAGTTAAGCTTATGGGACAATATGCTTACTCTAAAAATAAAAGCTTAACTAGCTACTGTAGTTTATAATACTGCCCAGTGTTAGTCAAAGAGTATAAACGTCCACTTATAAAATGAATAAGTTCTGGGGAATCTAATATATAGCATGGTGATTGTAGTTAACAATACTGTATTATAGATAATATTACCATAGTAACCCCTTCAAATCAATGTCTAAGGTGCTCAGCACAGTGTACTTGTCTTTTTATCATTGAGTTGTAGTCAGAAACAGAGAATGTGTATTCAGACTATCAGTTCTCCTACAGGATTTGATTAGAAAGACTGCGCCTGGAATTAGACCATTATGCAGGATTACCCTCCTACAAAATGTGTATGTGCTCTTATTTCCACTTTTTTAAGATCCAGAGAAAGCTGCCCCTACAGCTCTCAGGACACACGCCTGAATTACTCATGTGGCCCGGTAGAACGATAAAAGCTTACTCCCCAAGGGGCATGGTGATTTTATGATATACCTTTGGTTTTCTTCCTGATTGGTTGTTTATCATTCCTTTTTAGAAATTAGAGTGAAAGAAGTCTTGTTTTTTTAATGAGCTTCTTAGATAAGTATATTATCGCACCCTCGGCCCTGCTGAAAATGGAACCAAGGAGACTGTTTGCTCCAAAGCCCAGAGGGGCTGAGGCTCAGGGTTGAGAACTCGAGAGGGAGAGTTGGCAGGGCATATGCAGTTTTCTGTTAGCCCTGCCTGTAGATAATTAATGTCTCATTTGAAAATAATTAGGCAAACCAGGGACGAGCAGGAGCTCTGGAGAGGGTGCATGCACATGTGTGCATATGTGTATGTTGGAGGGTCTTGATCTGGATCTTAAACAGGTGGACACCCGAGCGAGGCATTTTGTAGGAGGGCAGTTCTGCGTAATGGTGTAGTTCTGGGCTTCGTCTTCCTAACTGAATCCTGCAGGGAACTGAGCCTGAGTACACATCATACACGTTCTCTCTGGCAGCCCCGTGTTTTTATCAAAACTGCTAAGCAAAGAGGCCGTTTTATTTTGTGATTTGGATTTATTTGCCATCTGTGGAGAGTAGAGCTGTCTTTTCAATATCTGAAATAGAACCTGTTTATCGCTCCCCAGCTCTGTGTGGTGTCCCTGGCATTATTTAGGACTCTCATCGGCTTACACTGTGAGGACGTGATGTTACAACTCGTTCTGAGGTGAGTTGCCATCTTTTGTTCCCTTTCGAGAGACTCACTCTGTACTATGGCTCTTATATTTTCCTTTGGTAATATAAGCTAACTAGGGGCTGTGCATCTAAGGAAAGTTATCAAGAGAATAAATTTAATTATTTTCCAAGGTTAATTTTAGTTTTACTATTAAAAATTTTCAACCTAGCCAGGGTGGCTCAGTGGTTGAGCATCGGCCCATGCACCAAGAGGTCACTGGTTCTATTCCTGGTCAGGGCACATGTCCAGGTTGTGGGCCCGATCCCCAGTGGGGGGCATGCAGAAGGCAGCCAATTGATGTTCTCTCTCATCAATGTTTCTATCTCTCTCTTCCTCTCTCTCTCAAAAAATATCAGTAAAGAAAATTTTAAAAATTTCCAGGAAGCCAAATGCATGATGTTATAAATTTGCTTCTGCAAAGAATAGATAGAATGTTTGGAAATGTTCAGAATTATTTTGAAAGCCCTTCTGGCCTGTGGCTGAATGTCTTATTCCTAAAGTACGTTTTTAGGGGAACCTGTGTTATTTGGAAAAAAACAACTTTTCTGAATATGAAATGCTGTTGATAAATAATTCCTGCGACTCTGGCTTTGGTAATGGTACAAATACACTGTGCACTGTGTGACCTGTGTGTATGTTTCTATTAAATTCAGTAAATATTTAATGAGGACTTTCTGTGTACAATTTAGAAGGGAGTAAGGTGTGGAGCAGATGAATTGAAAAGGACTTATATACAAGGTAGAAAAGCTATGTCCTTCAGAAGTACAGGGGGAAGGTTTTCATCAAATGGCCAGTATTGGAGGACAGGGTTGGGGAGTCAGAGTAGACTACTATTAAAACAATGTTAATTAGTCATTTGGCGAGGGGACTCAGGAACCCCAAATCCTGTTTTGGCCCAGGTCTGCCTCTCCCTCTGGGGTCCCTGAAGGCAGCAGATGCTTCTGTAAAGGAAGAAAGGGAGAGTTGGCTGGGGTGTGTGCTCCCACACTCCCCTCTGGTGGTGCAGAAAAGCCCACCAGGGTCCCTGGGCACACCTTCCACCTGTTTCCTCCTTGCTGGGCTTCCCAGCCCTCCTGGATCCCTCTTTGGGAAGAAGGGTGAGAGGGAGGAGAAGCCAGAGTGTGGAGAGAGGGAGGAGACTTGAGCTGCCCCTGGTGGCCGTGTGGGTTTTGACATGCTGTAAGTAGAATTCCGGAGGAGATGGCGTTCCTACTGGATGTAACAGTGTTTCCAAAGAGGTAGCTGTGGCAGGAAAGGGGATGGCAGAGTGTCATCGTGGGGACTGCACAGCAGCAGTGGTGGCATCACCCACCCGGGAGCTGGCTAGAAGTCCGCATTCCTGGCCTTTTCCCAGACTTGCTGACCACAACTCCGGGGGTGGGCGGGCGCATTTTCATAACTCTCCAGGGGATTCTGGTGCCTGGCTCACGTTGAGAACCGCTGGCTTAAGGGATGGTACAGAGTAGCTGTAGCACCCTGCAGAAGGGGATGATAAAAACCAGACTGGAAAACTTGGTGGCATAATGGTGAAGGTCATGCAGAGTTATCCTGTTATGGGAGAGTATCACCTATTCATTTTCTAAGTTTAACAAGAATTTTTAGACTTGCAGCGGTTTAGATCAGGTCACCAGCAACCACTCTTAGGACATTAGCAACGAACAAATCCTATCATAAGTAAATGCCTTGGATGTCTGGGTAGGGCATTAGTTATCTGTCCTAAGAGGATTACGTTAGCTCCCCATCAAATCTCAACTGATACGACAGAATGCATTAGCAACGCTGGGATGAAATCCATCAGAACAACTTGTTAAAGCCTTTTTTATTGCCCAAAACAAGACTTGACCTCCAAAAAGGGCAGAGCTTGATTATATTAAATGCTGAACTCTTGAATACTGCTTCTCTGATAGCATGGAACGCAGGCGTCTGTCCCTGAAGCCTGGCCCTGCTCAGAAGGTACAGAGCTTCCCAATTCTGGGTCACCAGGCCAGCTGAGCCCAGGGGGTGGAAGCTGGCTGTTTACCTTTACAAGGTGAACTCTCATTACCTTTTGTATGCTTATAAGGCGGCATTTGTTAAAAACTGTCTTTAGAGATGGTATTGGTTCAAGCTTTTTTTGAAATACAGATCTGTAACTTATGAAGGTGAAGAAATCAGCTCGTGGTTGAAATATTTACACATTCAAGTCAGGAGTATTTATTTCCAGGGTAAGGACTAGCAACTTCCTGGGAATGACTAGGGAAGGACACATCATCACACAGAATAATGGGAAAAATGATGCCAGACATAACCATCTGGTTCTAGGCTTTCTTCTGTTTCTTTGATGATGATGATGATGATGATGACGACGATGATGATGATGGCTGCCTTTAATTGGAGAGTTAATTTCTAATTCTGCCACACTGCTTGGGGGAATCCATGAGAAGGGCAAATAAGAGGACTTACACAGAAGTCGGGCATGTGGTAGACACGCAGGAAACCTCTACCTCCAGGTCTCTGTCCTCTGAATTGCTGATTCCCCCCTCCATTTAAAAATTATTTTCAGTTGTGGTAAAATATACAGAACAGAAATCTCCCTCTTCACTGTTGGTGATTGTACAGTTCGGTGGCAGTAAGTACATTCATGTTGTTGTGCAGCCATCACACCATCGGTCTCAGAACGGTTTTCATCTTGCAAAACAAACACTCTAATTATTAAACACAGACTCCTGATTTCTCCGTCCCCCCAGCTCTTGGCAGCTGCCACTCTACTTTCTATCTCTGTGAATTTGACTACTCTAGGAACCTCATATGGGTGGAATCATACAGTGTTTGCCATTTTGTACTTGACTTATTTCACTTAGCATAGTGTCTCCAAGATTCAGCCACATTATATACCATGTGTCAGATTTTTTTCCTTTTCAAGACTGAATAATATTCCATTGTATATACCACATTTTTCAATCCATTCATCTGTTCATGGACACTGTGGATTGCTTCCAGTTTTGGGCTATTGTGAATAATGCTGCTATGGGTGTACAAGTATTCTTCAAGACCATACTAGCAATTCTTTGGGTATACACCCAGAAGTGGAATTGTTAGATCATATGGTAATTCTATTTAATATTTTTTATTGTTTTCCATAATAGTTGTATTGTTTTACATGCCTACCAACAGTACATAGTGTTTCCAGTTTCTCCATATCTTCACCAACATATGTTATTTTCTGTTAAGAAAGTGGATTTTTTAATCTAACAACAACACAAAAATGACAGGCAGATTTGAGGAAGAACAAACTGGAGCTCTTATAAATAAAAACTGTAATTGTTAAAATAAAAAACTGAGTGTTTGGGATAAATACCATTTAAGACACAGATTAAGAGAGAGTTAATGAACTAGAAGATAGATTGAGGAAGTAACTAAGTTTGCAGCAGAAAGAGATAAAGAGATTTAATAAAACCAAAAACCATGAAAACAGCCCAGCTGATGTGGCTCAGTGGATTGAGCACCATTCCCTGGACTGAGAGGTCCTGGTTCGATTCCCAATCAGGGCACATGCCTGGATTGTGGGCTCAGTAGGGGGCATGCAGGAGGCAGCTGATGGATGTTTCTCTCTCACATCGATGTTTCTATCTCTCTCTTCCTTCCTCTCTCTAAAAAAATCAATAAAAAACTATTTTAAAAATATATATAAATAAACCTGATAACAAGGCTAGAATTCAGTTAGAGCCCCAGAGGGAGAGTGAACTGCTGATTTGACTTGAGCTATTCTGGGTTTGAAATTTGCTACCTCATAAGGCTTTTAGGAGGATCAACTGTGGTGATATCTGTGAAAATGTGTTGAAATGCTATAAACTGTTGCACAAATTTAAGGGAGTGGAATTTTAAACTAATGAAAGCAATGTCTCTTCTGTTGCAGAATCTGTACCAAAAGCTAGGACAAGGAAAAATTCTTATTCTGTTATTTTTTAAAACTTTATCTTAAGGGACACAAGAAATAGGTTTGCAGTGCACCCTTCTGTTGCTGCCTCTGCTGCCATTTAAATGTGCACGATAAATCTGTAGATCTGGGAGGCCATAGAGTAGTGAAGATTAGGTGAATCCTTTCAATTGAGTTGTTTGTTATGTGATAAATAAATAATAACTCTACATCAGTTTTTGTCGCAACCCAAATACTCTGAACTATTGACATCTCAAAGTGATAATCTATTTGCAACTGATATGTTTCTTTCATTTAGTGAGATATCAGGAAAGTAAGTTGAAATACTCCCCAAACAGAGGCTATTTCAGTGAGCAGAAAACCAAGGAGCAATTGCCCATCTCTGTGGATATGACATGTGATAGGCCAGCGGCAGGCAGGAAATGCTGACAGGCAGGGAAGTGGCAGATCACCCCCATGTTCCGGACGCTTCCCAGCTTGGGCAGAATTTAATTGCTTGATACTCTGAGTGCCATTTATGAATATGCTGGTTAGGGTGTTTTTTTCCCAAGTGCTGGTTCATTGTCAGCTTTATGAACTGCACTGCCTGTCATGTTCAGATAGAGGCTGTTTTGCTCAAAGAACAGCTGTGTGTACACTTCAGGAACATTTCCATCTAGCATGGGAGTTAGATGTCTGGGGGAGGGCAAACAAAGCCAGCTAGGGTAGGACAAATAGAAGAAACATGGCCATACTGTCTTTGAAAACCAAACGATCTTTTTGAAGTTCACAAACGTTGCTTTTTAGATTTTTGCCTAGTGGTGTGTTATTCAGGTCATCATCATCTTACAAGAAGCACCTTGTTTCAGTCGTTGTACTTCACTGCTTTATTTATTTATTTAATGTGTTTTTGTTGATTTTTTTAGAGAGAGGAAGGGAGAGAGAGAAACATCCATGTGAGAAACTTCTATCGGCTGCCTCCTGCACACCCCCTGCTGGCCATCAATCCTGCAACCTGTGCATGTGCCCTGACCAGGAATTGAACCACAACCTCTCTGTCCATGGGACGGCCGGCGCTCAATTCACTGAGCCACACTGGCTGGACTGTTTTGCTTGTTGTTATTGTTGATGTAGCAATAGGCAATTTGTGTGCTTTGTTATTGACTGGTTGTTACTAAATTGTTTCAGAAGTGATGATGATTTATTTTAATGAGTCTTATCCAGGAAAAGAGAAAATGGAAGTTGGGGAAATAAGGAAAAGAGGGAGGAAAATATATATATTTTTGCTATATTTTAGGATGGCTTTGAGTAATCTGGACTCCTAAAATCAGATATTTATTACTTCATGATTATATTTACCGCTTTCTGAATTTAAAGAAAATCTCCAACCAAATAAGTATAGTAAAAATGAAAAGATCGTTTGATGACAAATACTTATACTAGATTCCTAAGTGATTTTTCTGCTATCATTTTGATTTGACATTTGTGAAGTATCTGACATTCATTCTGTTTCTTTTTATAAATGAAAGTACAGTTGGTGTACAATATTATATTAGTTTCAGGTGTACAACATAGTGATTAAACATTTATACATCTTATAATGTGTTTACCACACCAGTAACCACCTGTCACTGTCCCACCTTGTCACACTGTTATTGACTGCATTTCCCTTCCCCTTGTCACCCATCCCCACAGTGCCCTCCCCTCTGGCAACCATCAGTTGGTTCTATCTTTCTATGAGTTTGTTTTGTTCTGTTTGACTTTTAAAAAAATTTTAACACATAAGTGAAATCATATGGTATTTGTCTTTCTCTGTCTGACTTATTTCACTCAATACAATACCCACTATGTCTATCCATGTTGTTACAAGTGTCAGGATGTCGTTCTTTTTTATGGCTGAGTAATATTCCATTGTGTATATAGACCACATCTTCTTTATTTATTCATCTATCAATAGACTCCTAGGTTGATTCCATAACTTGGCTATTATAAATAATGCTACAGTGAACATTTGTTTTTTATCTTTCCCTGTAAATGATGGAAGGGCAGAGGGTTGGCGTATGGTTTTCCAGCTCTCCCCTTTGGGACAAGCCTTCATTATAAAGGCAGAGCAGAAGTACTGCACTGCATACGAGGGGGCTATTCATTTGAATGGATTCCCTGACTTCTAATGTTATAGAACCTCTCCTTCAACCTATAGGCAAGCTCTATTTTATTTACTCAGAAGAAAATTCTTAGTTTCTACTGAAAGCATGGATTTGCAAAGTTGCAAATTCCCAATATCTCTTTATTCTAATATAATTTCAAGCTATCCACTGGTGATATTTAATAGCTTTATTAGGTTTGATCCAGTGTACCATTTTTAAAATATTTCAAAGAGTAGAAATATGTATATCAACTTAGTCATAAAATGTGATTTGATTTGAGCTGTAGGTAGTCATCAAGTTCCTGTAGTATGTACAAGCATTGAAGCAGTTTATTTCTTAAATAATCAATGATGAGAATAAGGATACAGTAAATCCAGTGTTATGTTAATGTCCCCAGGCCTCACGAGCCTATGAGAACGGGGAGTTCACATCAACACCCTCAGAATAGGTTTTCCTGGCTCACCTCTGCCCTCACCTCAGATCTTGGCCCCTGCAAAGCATCAGCCGTGACTTATGGGGGGCCCCTGAAGGAAGGGTTCACTCATGAACAAGTCTGTCTTCTACTGGTTGCCACAGCAGCCTCTGCAGTGGTCTCCTCCCTGGCTGAGGCCCCTCTGATGGGTGCTGCCTCCCCTCCGACCCTGCCTGGTGCCGAGGTGCTGGAGCAGCACTGGCCTCCCTGTGCCCACTGGGCCAGGGCTGTGCTGCGTTCAGATGGGCGGGAGCGGCCTCTCCCCCTGCATCGCTCTGGGTCACCAAAACGTCTCTGCTTAGAGGGAGCCTTGTGAAGAGAGCCTCATTCTCTACCGAGAGCAGCATTTCTTCTCTAACAGGGCTCAGAGTCAAGTCCCCACAGCTGCGCCCAGAATCAGAACAGACCTGCCCCCTTTCCCATACTGTCTTTTTTTGGAACCTTGGACTTTCACAAAACTGAACTTAGGAAAATAGATGCCTCGTGTCAGACAGCAGGTGTGTCTGGATCTTAGTGATAGCAGTGCAGGCTTCAGGGGTATGTGTATGCCCAGGGGTGCAGGGACAGCCCCCTAGATGGAGCACTGGATTGTTTTTGGGAACGGAAGGTTAAGTGGCAAACTTGTCATTTCATACTGGAAGGTTACTAGGGTGTTGTGTGGAAAGTACCGTGAAGAGAATAAATCTCTTTTCCTCCTTGACTCAGGCCCTTGCAGTGGGTCGGCCATCAGGATACAATAGGTTTTCCTCATTTAGATCAACAGGTGTGAGATGGCTTAGTCTCTACAGGCCTCAAGACATACCCTGAAAATCGTGCTTTTGATCTTTTTCACCAAATCCTTCATTGTAGCTTGTTTCCCACCACACTACCTCTTCCTCGAAGTTACATACCGAACGAAAGCACTCTGCTTCCTTGAGCTCGTGGTTGTCCCCGTAAAGGCGCAGGCCCCTCTGGGATTGGCTCCGGCTCACACAGGCGGCGCTTGGCTCTGCTGTGACCTCCTTCCCCACTGTTCCCTTTGTTTAGCAGCACGGTCTTTCTCCCTGTTAGAAAATAAGCCATGGAGACACACTTTCTTCTCCCCAAAGCCCACAGTGTGTTCCAAGAGTGTCAGAAAGGTCTGCTGAGATCTTGTCTCCACAGTCATGATGATGCTTTCGATCACCAACCCAAAGCGTTGTGTGTCAAACGGGGCCCCGTGCCCCTCAGGGAGTCTTTGGCCACCATATTTTCTCATGGTCACCCAGGAGAATATGGGAGGAGGTTTGTACTCAGCCGTGGGTCCGCTGTCCTTCAGTGCCCACTGTGAGTCACACAGTTCCTGGGATTATGTTTCAAAATCATTGAAGGAGGTCCTAGTGCGTAGGTGGAGGTCTGTGAGTACAGTGGAGGGAGAGATTAGCTCTATTCTATTGTGGAATAGGAAACCTGGAGGTCTTCCTGGAGAAGGTGACACTGAAACTGGACTTTGTAGGACAGCAAGGCACTTGTCAGGCAGGGAAAGGGGAGAGCACATTTTGGGTGAAGGTTCCAGGGGTGCAGAGGCACAGGGGGATAGCCGATCCATTGAGAGATGAGGACGCTTGTGGAGCTTACATTGTAAAGGCCTTCAGATGCTCGCACAGGGATTGTCCTGCCAGAAGAAAGGCCTTGACAAGTTTTAAGCAAAAGCGTGAGCCCTGGTGGGAAGGATGGATTGAGGGTGGGGAGAGGACGGGTCACCCCTGGCCACGACTAGTCCTGATAGTGGCTCAGGAGGTGGCCGCCTGGGCATGGGCATTGCGGAGACTGAATGCGCCCGTTTTGTCATTCCAGGTATCTGATCCCCTGCAATCACATGATGCTGAGTCAGAGGTGGGCCGTGAAGGAGAGAGACTGCTACTCCGTGTCTGCGGCCAAGCTGCTCGCCCTGACCCCCGTCTGCTGCTCCAGCGGGATCACCCTGACGCTCGGGAACCAGGAGAGGGATTACATTCTCTGGTCAAAGTGTACGCACGATGGTTCAGGTAGGAACTTGCGGGCGACTTTTATACAAAAGGATGCCAGATTCTGTCTGTCCTCGGGATGTGTGTCTCTTTGAGAAGAGGGAAGAAGAGTGAGTTCCATTTCTTTTGTCTAGCTGGGGGTCCTTTTCTGGTTCATAAGGAGCTGTGGACACGTTGTAATCAGTGTTCATGTTCGTGCCCAGCTGTCACCAATTCTCCCAGATCTTCATTTTAACTAGAATTTCTGGTGTTGCTCTCAGAATCCAAATGTGAAAACGTGTACCAGTATGTCTTCAATAACAAAATAGGGGTAGGGGGGTGTGCTGACGACTATAGCTAAGATAGAATTAGCCCTTATTTTAATTTCCAAAGTGGCCCACTTGTGGATACTTGCCTGTCAATCATATATCATCATAAAACTGGAAATTTGTGATATGGCAGCAGGATCTGCTGCGTTTGATTGACCGATAGGAGCTACAGCATGCACGCACTGTGTATGCTGTAGCTGTCCCTGATCCTGTGTGTGTAAAACAGAGATCGTCACCTCTGTCAACCTGGCTCTGTGCAGGTGCTAGGTCAAGGGGCACCCATGCATCTTCAGTGGTCAGAAGGCTGTTTTAGTCAGGTTCTGTCTGCGGCCACTAGGGCATGGTCCGGTCCCGGTGTTGCCTCAGGTGTTCCGGTCTGTATTCTGATACCCCCCAAGCAGTGCCATTCTGTTCATCTAGGTGTACTTCCGGTAGCCTGGAGGCTGCTTGGTTGGGGAAATAGCAGTATATTTGGTACAACTGTAATTTTAGAAATTAAAGTTGTCTACTGGTTCTTGGTCTTTAAAGATACAAGTACATGTATGAAAATTAGTATTTTTTGTGGCAGTATAATAAGCTGGGTTTTAAATAGAGTTTCCTGTTGGTTAAATTAGTGTGGAATACTTATATTTTCCTGCCCAATAATTACTTTTTAAAAAAAATGTATTTGAAAATTGATGTTTGTCTTATTTACTAAAAAAGTTATTTCAAGAACGATTCTTGGCTGACCTGGCCTCAGAATTCAAAATTCAAGTTAAACAGTTGGGAGTGCCTGCAACCTCCTTTCCTTGTGTTGTCACAGTCAGTTCCTCGAAGAAGGTCCTGTGCTCAGTTTGGAGATAAAGCAACAAACTCAGAGAGAGGGATGGGCTGGTTCAAGGTTATCTCGCTGGTAGGCCCTCTGTTCTTCCACCAGGCTGCCTCTGGGGTTCTGTACGGCAGACAGACTCTCTAATGGGAGGAACGGTTCTGTAGATGGAAGTGTAGGTAGGTGGGTAGGCAGATGGGTAGATAGATAATATAACTGTTGTGCAATGGTTAAGAGCCAGGATTCCGAATCTTGGGCTCTGCTACTTTCTAGGACAAATTACTTAAGCTTTAGAAACCCCCCTCCCCCCCATATGTAAAGTAGTGCTACCTAACAGCATTGTTCCCAGGATAAGTGACCTTGGATATGTAAAGCTCTTAGAAGACTACCTGGCCTGCAGTCGTGCTAAATAAATATTGCTCTCTTTCTTTAAGGTCTTTTTATTTTGGCAGTAAAGCTGTAAAAAATGAATCATGTCTACCCTGATGACCCCAAAAGTGTGTCTTCTTAAAGGTTCCATTCTGGCCTAGTCTGGAGGAGATAACGAAGAGACCAGAGGCTGGCCAAGGTGTGGCATCAAAAGAAATAAGAATGGGGGTTCCCAGAGACAGCCTGTACTTGGGCTGTAGCTCTGCCACTGGCCAGTTAGTTGGGTGCTGTTCTGTCTCTGAGCCTCAGTTTCTTCATCTGTAAATGGAGAAAATACCGTATGCCATGTAGGTTGTTGTGAGGATTACATTAGATCGCACAGATAAAGCACCTGCCACATGGAGCATGTTTAAGAAAACTACAGAGTATGTATTTTTCCTTGCGTGAGTCCTTTTTTTCCCCGAAGTCCCCCTTCTTTATTTCAGTTATGCATTTGAGAACTTGAGCATCAAAGGCAGAGTATGGGAACGCTTATGGGAGCATCCTTAGGTGACAAGGGCCATTTTGCTAGTGAATAGGCCTTTATCACAAGAGATCTTTTGGTACCTAGCACCATCCCAATAGTTCCTATGCAGGCCGAACAAGTCAGTAGGCTTTTCTAAAAATCCAGTGTTTTCTAGAGAAAAATCTGTCTTCCAAATTCATGGATTACAGGCCTTCCACTTCAGAATCACAGTGAAAATCTTTTAAATCATTACCTACACTGTGGTGGGTACTATATTCGATATATTACCTAGTTTAATTCTCTCCATAACCTGAGAGATTGCCATTATTAGCTCTTATTTCTCTAAGGACTGCTACCAAATAGGTTTTCTGTGGGAGGTGGCCAGGATCTGACTGGTCATATTGGTTCTATACCTCCTATGAGGGTCGGCTTTCTGCTATTATCTTTTCTTCTTAAAATCTAAGCATTTTTATTCAGATATCATTGAATTGGAAATTATTAGAACCAAAGTAGCCGGTGAGAGGAAGTCTCAGCAGCCCCGTGAGACACATTATGCCCACTGCCTTGGTCCCCACCCCTTTCTGAAGGGTCCAAGGGCTCATTCATTCTAATGTGCCTCTGCGTCCGGCAGGGCCCCCGGAGCAGCCGCGCCCCGAGGCGTCCCCGTCGGTCTGCATCGCGGAGTATGGCAGAGCCCTGGACATCAGCTACCTGCAGTACCTCTGGGAAGCCCACACCAACATCCTCCGCTGCATGAGGGACTGTCGGGGCTGGTCGGCCCTCTACGACGGGGACTCCCCTGACCCCGACACGTTTCTCCGGAGTCAGGCAGAGGGGAGCGCTGCCAGCCCCGCCCACCCCGTGCTCAGGCTCCCACAGCAGCTCCCCGGGAGGACAGGGCCCCCGCCGGCTCCGCGCAGGGACAAGGGCCCGACGGAACTGGAGTGGGACGACAGCTATGACACCGGCATCTCCTCGGGGGCCGGGGTGGGCTCCCCCCGGCCCGACGATGACCTGGAGAACCCTGGGCCGCCGGTGCCAGTGGACCCCCCCAAACACATCCAGGAGATGAAGAAGAATGCCATCCTCCGCTTCAAGGGCACCTACATCGAGGAGTCCGACTTCCAGGACGACGTGATGGTGTACAGGCTGTGTGCCGACAAGGACACTGGGGACACTGGACACGCACCGCAGGAGCCCGCGCGGCCCCCGGCCCAGGGCCCCCCCACGGACACTGGGCCCCTGCCCAGCCCTCAGCCTGAAATGGACTCCGCGGGGGAGGCGCCCAGGGACAGCTCAGACTTGTTTGCCAATGTGTCCGAGGAACCGCCAGGGGAGGAGCCCCGAGCCCCAGAGTCAGACTCCGAGTTGCCAGCCCCCGTCTCCCAGGCAGAGCACAGTTCAGACCCACAGGCGGCTGACCCAGAGGGCGAGGATTTCATCGCCCAGTGCGACCAGATCATTAAAGAACTGGACGCTGGCGCCGAGGGCTTCATAGGACAGAGTTTCTCCCCACCCGACCCCTTCTTGCTCCTCACAAGTGAGCAGGAAGGGAAGGAGGAGAGCAAAGGGGAGGAGGAGGAGGAGGAGGTGGAGGAGGAGGAGGAGGAAGAGGACTTGGACTCTTTTATGGCGCCAGCTCCCGCGGAAGAGACCATGCCGTCCCCGTTTGGGGTGAGAGATGAGACTGACTCTGCCAGTCACCACCCCCTGAGGACTCAGAGCCCCCCGTTCACAGGTGACAACCTTAGCTTGCTTTGTGGTTTCTGCTTTTGAAAGTACTTGTGTGCATTGCTGCAGGAGGAAGGTAGGTGGAGGTACGGGGCACAGCCATTGACCCAACAGAGGGCAAAAATACTCTACAGAGAGCGGAGAGGGGTGATGCCATTTTTACTTTAGTTTGTCATTCTTACACTGATGCTGTGTTTATTTCCACCAGCAAGTTAGAAGTTAGATTTTACTGCTGAGTAACTGCCCTTGATATATGCCTGTGGTAAAGGAGTAGCAGGGCTGATGAAACCACACACTAGAAATCCAGTCTCATTGTTTAATAGCCCCATTTCCTTTAGTCTTATTTTTTTACCTTAGCATTTATTTTATGAGGTTTTAAAATTTTTTTTTCCCCTTTATTGGTTTTAGAGAGAGAGGAAGGGAGAGGGAGAGAGAGATAGAAACATTGATGAGAGAGAATATCGATTGGCTGCCTCCTGCATGCCCCCCACTGGGGATCAGGCCCACAACCTGGGCATGTGCCCTGACCAGGAATCGAACCAGCGACCTCTTGGTGCATGGGTTGACGCTCAACCACTGCACCACACTGGCTAGACTTTTACGTGTGTTTTTAAGTACAGTTTCCCCCACGGGAATGTATGCTCCATGAGGGCCCAGTGTTGGCTTGTTCTCTGCTCTATCCCAGCACCTGCCCAGTGACCAGAACACGTGGTTGGCACTCAGAATACTTGCTGTGTACACATCAGAGCCACTGGGGCTAGTTGGGTCTTTGCCTGGGAGCTCATTTCAGAGACTCACAAAGTCTTCATCCAAAAATAAGGACAGTAGAGCCACGTAACTCCGAACTCTACCAAAGAATGGGTGTTCCTGTGATACACCCCTCACCACAGGTAGACATCACAGAAGAGGCAGAGGGATAGGGTAGGGTATCAGGTAAGTGGATTGGGGTGAGGGATTATGATACAGAACATCATTAAATATTAGCCAGCAAAATCTGACCTACAAAACGTGATGCAGAGGGACGGGCACAGAGGAGGGTTCATCAAGCTCAGGAATAGTGGGGTGGGACCCCCGAGTGGTGCTCAGGTAGCAAGCAGAGGTTCCTAAGGGAGCTGGCAGCACAGGGACAGACAGTGGCCTTGGACTCAGGCCTGTTGGGGAATCCTGGCTCTAGCACTTTCAACCACGTGGCCTTGGTGCTCCCCCTGCCCCACCTCATGATACAGGGGGTCACTGTGGTGACAGGCAGCCCCCAGCAGCCTCTGCTGCGCCTGGGCCTTCCCTGGCAAGTGGGGAGCTGCTGGGAGGAGAGCCCACAATAGGTGAAATCACATTACCTCGGGCCAGCCAGGCGGGCTGCATGTGGGTCACAGGAGCTCTGCCCCCCCCCCCCCCCGCCCCCGCCCCGGGCCCAGTCTGCATGCATCCATTCACGGACACCTGCAAATTTATTTAAACAGGGAGAAAGCTTTTCATTCCACAGGTAAAAGGCTAAAAGGCTAGAGGTTCTAGTTGAGATAACATTTCAGTGTGAATGAGTTTAATTAAAATTCAATCAGTCAGTCAATCATAAATAAAAAGGATTAAATACTCTTCAGTTTTCCCAGTTGATAAGGGAGGAGGAGGGGAGGGAAGACCCCAGACCAGCTGAAGGAGGTGGGAGAGGCCAGTGGGAGGAGGGGTCACCTGCAGCCTGGCCTTTACTGTCACCCAGCAGGAGACCCCAGCTGTGTCCACCGTTCACTGGGCACCGGCCCCCTCGGCTCGTGACACTCCTTCCTGAGGATGCCAGCTTCCGACGAAGTGGCGTCATCCTGGGGAAATAGGTAAACTGAGGAAACGTAGTATACCTGAGGGGAAAAAGCTAATACAATACCTTATCAAATAACATCAGTATTTTGCTTACGATACATCTGAGAGCCAACACAACAAAGTGAGTTTTCTGGTACACATAGGTCATTTTGACTAAAACTTGCCTTTTTCTCCTCTGAAACGGTACGCAGTGTCAGGGAGCACTGTCGCTCTCCATGTGTGTGAGCTGTCGTTCAAACGTGATGTGTCCTGCAGCATCGGGCCACCGGCCATCTCCGCCTGGAGTCCTGGTTTCCGCTGCCATGAATCTCCCTCTCAGCAAAACCCAAGCATTCCATTTCATTTACCTAATTGATTTTATTAGCAACCTTTATGTGGCAGGTTCTGTGCCGGGTACTAAAGACCCAGAAATGAAGGAGTTTGCAGACTTTTAGAGAAGACGTCAGCAAAGAAGTGTACCCTCCCAGTGGGCAAGGCCGAGTCACCGGCCAGTCCTGTGGGAGACAGGGCAGGGAGCGGGAAAGGCTTCCCGGAGGAGGGACACGAGCAGCAAATGGCACCGGGTCAAAGTGCCTGAGAACCACAGTCCAGGGAGCAGCAGGCAGAGGCAAATGAGACTGACAATGCGTGGGTGAGCGGGGCAGAGAGAAGTGTGGGTGAGAGAGGGCGCCAGAGAGCTGGGTGCCAGCATGCCCACTGATGGGGCCTTAGGGCCAAGCTGGGACCTTGACTGCGGCACTGAAGATGCCCTGGAAGTACTAGCTTCGGCAGGGATGTGACAGGATCGAAAGGCCAGCCTAGGAGAAGCGGGGAGGGCACTGGGCGGGGAAGCGGGGGTGCAGGGACGGCCGAATGAGAGACTGTCATCGAGCCAGAGTTCAGGAGGCACCACGGCTGAGCTCTGGTGATTCTGTTTCCAGGGACAGTTCCACAGCTGTCCTCTCTCAGGTGCCACGATGTGTATCAGAGATGTTCACTGTAGCACCGTTAACACGGCAAAGGGCGGGACGACCGCTGTCTCCAGTAGGAGACGGTTTTACTCGAACAGCTCCGTGGTCACTGGGTGTTAGGGCCTGAGACCGGTGTGCGTGCTGATATGGCACAGCGTCAGGACAGAGTGTTAGGGGGGAAGCCAGGTGCGGGCACTGTGCAGAGAATGCGTCAATAAGATATACCAGAAGACAGACAGACAGACACACGCACAGGCCACGCTCACTGCTGGGAGGCACGATGCTGTGTTGGGCCAGAGGACTGGCGCTGGGAAGAGGGTCTGAATTAAAGTTGGACTCCTCCGGTTCCTGGCTGTGTGCAGTTGGCATTTGCCTCATCTTTAAATGGGGGTAAATAATGAACAAACTTCAGAGAGTTCTTGTATTTAAATAAGTTGATATGCCCTGACCGGTTTGGCTCAGCGGTTAGAGCGTTGGCCTGCGGTTCTGAGAGACCTGGGTTCGGTTCTGCTAAGGGCACGTACCTCGGTTGCGGTTTGTCCCCGGCCCTGGTTGGTGTCGTGCAGGTGGCAACCACTCGATGTGTCCCTTTCATGTCGATGTTTCTCTTTCTCTCCCTCCCACTCTATCTGAACAAAAAATGGAAAAATGTCCTCAGGTGAGGATAAAAAAATAAATAAATAAATAGGTTGATACAAGATAAGTGCTTAGAACTCTGCCTGGCACATAGTAGGTGATTAGTAAATATTTTAAATAATATTTTAATTATTTAATTATAGACATAAAACATTTGTGGAAGAATACACTAGACTCTGAAGAAGAATTGCCTTTCAGGAGAAGAGGCCTGTTGTTTATTTTATACTCCTATGCTGTTTGAAGGAAAAAAATTTAAATTATTTCCATCTCTATTAAAATAGAAAATGTTGAAGTCCAGACGAGAAGAGAGGGGACCGAGACCTCAGGCAGTGCGGGCGGGGGAGGGGGAGGGGGGGGGAGCTGGAGGGCCGCGTTCAGGAGATACTTTCAAGTGGGATTGGCGGAGCCGAGGTACCCAACAGGTGGCAGCTCCGTTGCAGGGTCAGGAAATATTGGGGGGGCAGATTGAGGCGGAGGACGGGGCCTTGAGGACAGAGACGTGAGTGACAGGGAGGGACAGTGGAGATCATCTTAGTTCTGAAAAATTAAATATTTTGTGGCTGCGGAGTTTACTGTCCTGGAGAAAGAGGAGGAGTACACCCTCCATCCTCATACACTCCTGTGGCTTTCGGAGCCGTAGCCGAGGTTTCTGACTTTCAGCTGCTGGCCAGCTCCCCCGGCAGTGGCTTTGTGCTGAGGTAGAAATCCACTAAGAATAAACGGGAGTTTGAAAGGGTTTCGATATATTCCTTATTGCACATGGCTGAGAAGTTGTAATTCATGTCATTAGTGGGTTATGACAGTCTTTTGGCCTTGACCTAATATCCTGTCATTCGGGTGAGACAGTGATAGCACTCTCCCGGGGTGATGGCTGTACGGGGTGGCCCTGTCACTGCTGCGTGGTCACGTGGGAAGGATGGCCGGCTGAGGCCAAGTGCGGTCTGGCATGGTGCCAGGGAAACCGAGGGCTCACATTCAGGCCAGGGGTATCACAGGAGACCCCCCCCCCAAATATGGCTCAGTTCATCTGCTCCCTCTGGAAGGACCTGATGCTGAGCCTGGGGCTGTAGAGGGTCGGGCGAGGTGGGGGAGAGACTGGGTCTGGGGTCGAGGAGGGTGAGGGCCGCAGCCTTCTGGGGGTCCCCCTGGGAGGCTAGAGTTGCACTGTGTTGCCTTAAGAAGAGTCACTGGTGACATTTCTGGGGTTCTTGATGGAACCTCATCAAGTTGCTTTCAAACCGGAGTTCCAATCTAGAGTTTCCGAACACGTTTGGCAAACTCTGCCAGTGTTTTGAAGAGTTCATTGACCTGCTGGGTCACAGAACATGACTGAGGAGCTCAAGCCCCGTCCCGAGGATGGAAAGCTGAGGCTAAGTTCGGCGCGTGAGGGGATGGTGCCTTTTCTGTGCTGGGAGGCCCTTAGGGACACACTTTGTATTTCTGGTGGCGGGACTGTTGCCATCACCCTGTTACTCGCCTGCGTGGGTAAGAGGTTTGTGTTTGGTTCTCATTCTCACCACCAAGGCTTCAGAAAGAAACATCTTGTGATGGAGTATGTTTCGGTTAGACTCATGTTAATGCTGGCGAAGTCTTCATGAGGCACGTTTATCCATCAGGGGATATGTGCTCTGTTATAAATATGCTACGGTTTAGTGGCATCGTCGATAGCTCCACTGGGGGAAATACAAAATTCTCATTGATTTTGCTTAATGGACCACTTTTATGGTAAAACTAGAAAAACATCTTCCAGTAATTTTATTCACACCAGATTAATTTTTTTGATTTTTTTCCCCTGTCTTCAATGAACTCAAACACAAAGCATATTAATTTTCTGGTGACTCAAATTAGTCAAAGCTCCTTTTTTTCTTATGAGCTGTTTTTTGAATGAAATAATGGATTTTGTGTGTTAAGGGACTCAGGATATAACCAAACCGGATCTCCCCAGACCAAGTCCCTTCTCTCCCCTCCTCCCGCCTGAAAACTGAAGTGTGGTGACCAAGTTGCTCAGTGCTAAGATCACAGCCCAGACTCATCTCCCCCACCCCCCCCCCTCCTTGTCCTTCCGCATGGTGACATCTGACAAGACAGTCTTTCTCACAGCGCTCATTGGGGACAGACCGTCCTGTTCAGTGTTACCGTTGGATAAACAGTTCCTATGTGTTTGGGATTTTTTAACAGCATGAAGGCCTTTGGTTACCCAAACTTTTAATGGCCTCGCCTGTTTGCACGAAGCCCTACGGCACGCAGGGTCGTGAGCTGATCAGCATCATAGTTTTGAGCATTGGCAGCACCAAGAAATACGGAAACAGTGTAGAAAAGTATACCTTAGTTTTAAAAATTAAATTATTTGTCAAGGCCTACGATAGTTTTCCAAGCGTTAAAACTGCTCATGGAGTCAGATACTGGTTGCCATGCACCTCGGTCTGCCTCCTCTGTGGCAGTGGTGTGTCGTGTGTGGGTTTGAGGCAGAGGACCCGGCGCAGTGCCTGTGTCTGCACTGGACTTGACCTGGGGGTGCGGCTGGGAGCTGTGCCCAGTGGCCCTTGGCTGCCAGGGAATGGCGCCCCCGTGCCCAGCCGCCCTGAAGCCTGTGTTGCTCCCACAGGCCCATTCATCAGCGTGGTCCTGTCAAAGCTGGAGAACATGCTGGAGAACTCTCTGCATGTTAATTTGCTGCTCATCGGGATCATCACCCAGCTGGCCAGCTACCCCCAGCCACTCCTGCGCTCCTTTCTGCTCAACACCAACATGGTCTTCCAGCCAAGCGTCCGTTCTCTCTACCAGGTACGTCCGCTGAGCCCGCATCCACACCTGTTGACTTTACCGGTGCTGATTAGCGGGGCTCCTCCCCCCCGTTATTGTGTTGTTTTTTAAAAAATCCTCTGTTCTAATTCATTTGCTCTCCTTCCTCATCCTGTGTTGCCAGTTGAGTGTAGATTATTCTAGACAAACTGCAAAGCTTCATTTAGTTTGATGTTTCGAGGGGGCCCTACCAGAACGCCCAGCAGTTAAAAATGAGCAAATCCCTAATGGAATAGTTCCTGCAAGGAGGGAGGGCTGTACCGGAGAGACGTGGAGAACAGAGGGAGGAATCCCGTTGGAAGCATGGGCATCATTAGTGTTGTTTTGGACAGGTCCTAGCATCTGTGAAGAACAAGATTGAACAGTTTGCTTCTGGGGAGAGAGACTTCCCGGGACTCCTCATACAAGCCCAGCAATACCTGCTCTTCCGAGTGGACATGTCTGATGTGACCCCTGAGTCACTAACCAAAGGTGAGCCGGCTTCTCCCCTGCATGTCGCCTCCACCCGCTCCTCCGTTTCCTCACCTCCTGATCTGGGCTCAGAGATGCTGCGTGGGCTCCTGGGCTCTGAAAGCACCCAAATGTATTCCTTTTTACCCAACATCGAGGAGCCTAAAGGAAGGTCCCAGCCCATACCCAGCCTGTTCTCGGTTTGGAGGGTCTCGCAGGCATTGGCTTCCGACCTGAGCGACAGGGAAGGAGTGATGTCTGGGCTGTTGCAGGCTAATACGTTGCGTGGCGCCTGTGGGCCAGAAGGCGGCTTTCTGTGTACTCTGTGGGCCATTCCTTTCCAGCTCTACCCCGAGGAGGGCATCCGTTCTCCTCATTGTGTTTTCAGAGACTCCTGGGCCCAAAATAAATGTGCTTTAGGGCTCTCGAAGGTAAACACTATTCATTTGGACTGGGAGAAGTCGAGTGTATGCTCAGCTTAAAATACTGAGAGTGACTTTTTTGTTTTATTTTTTTAATCCTCACCTGAGGATATTTTTCCATGAACTTTTTAGACGAGTTTTGGAAAGGAGGGATGGAGAGAGAGAGAAACATCGATGTGAGAGAGACACATCAATTGGTTGCCTCCTGCATGACCCCAACCCAGGGATTGAACCTGCAACCCAGGTACGTGTCCTTGACCGGGAATAGAACCCGAGACCCTTTGGCCTGAGGGCCGATGCTCTAACTGCTGTGCCAAACTGGCCAGGGCCTGAGAGTGACTTTTCATCAGCTGAAGAGGTGTTAGGTGGGGGCCTGGCGAGGTGGCTGGGGGTGCTGGGGGGGTGCTCAATGTGAGAACTGAGGGTGGTCCTGCTGGCCGGCCAGGCCTGGGAGCATCAACGCTTTGCTTCGCTTCAGCTCCGGTTGGACAGACTGGACGGCCAGCTGTCCTCCGAGCTGTGACCTTGGTCTTGGTGAGTGCACATGAGCAAATGCCCGGATCGCACTTAGCTCAACAGTCAGGCTTCTGTGGGGCAGGTGACCAGTGCGGAGAGAGGGCTCTCAGTCCACGCTGGCTCAGAGGCAGGAGTGCACCTCAGGACACTCCCAGAGCTCCGGAGGCGTGGCCTCGCCGCTCTGCAGCTCTTCGGTCTTGGTCACGCTGCCTCACGGGCCTCAGGCCCCTGGACCCCTGCATGAAGCTTGTGTGTCCTCTCGAGTCCTCCCTGGTGCAGACTCCGGGTGTGAAGAGCCCTTAGGGCATCACAAGGCTGATTTCGCAAGAAAGGCAGGCCTTGTGCCACTCGTGGGGAGGGCGTCAAGCTCTGGCTGGAGGAGCGCAGGCAGGCCATTCGAGGGGGGAAGGAGCCCTGCACTCTGGGAAGGCGGACTGCACCCCACACGGCCTCTCAGCCGCCGGCACAGTCGACCGTCAGCCGTGTTGCCCCAGCCCAGCTGGTGAGAGGGTGCGTCAGTTCATTGGCTTCTGTGCGAACCAGCCAGGGCACGAACAGTGCCTCCCAGAGCCATCGGTGAGGACTCTGAGTCTGCGGTCACCTGGGTGTCCTGGTCTGGGCCAGGCTCGGCTGGACGTCGGGGATGGCCTCAGGCATGTTGGTGGCTGCTGGCGGGGGTGATGGGGTGATGGGGTCGGTGTCCTCATCCAGCAGGTCCGCCTGCTTGTCAGTGTCACACCGCGGGGTTGCACACAGAGCAGGAGCATGGGAAGTCATTCCAGCTCTGGAATTCTGCTGCGTTCTGTTGGCCAAGCAAGTGCCTGGGCCAGCCCCGGTCAGGAAAGGAGCAAACCCCACCGCTTCATGGGAAGAGCTGGGGAGAATGATGGCCATTTTTGCAGTCTACCAGCTAGGAGGGGACTTCAGTTTCCTTACATGACACCCCAGGCTTGGTCTTCATTTGTATTTTACAATTTGTAAAGTGCTTTTCCAGACAGTCAATTTTTACTTTCAGACAGCACTACGGAATGGGCAAGGAAGGGACTGTTGGGTTCATTTTCACGTAAGGAAGCCGAAATTAGGGCCCAGGTAGTCAGGTAGGACCACGATGCCTGAGCTGCCCTGCCTAGTTCTTGGGGCAGGACACGGACCGACGTTGTGGGCTTTCCGTGACGAGAGGTGCATGTTCTGGAGAGGGGTCTCGCGCTCCTGGTGCTTTGCTCTGGCTTCGGACTGATGGCGTGGTGCCAGGCACGTGCCCAGGGGGGCTTGTTCCCACGTGAGGCTGTCAAATTCACCAGCTGTGGCTGATGTTTTTTAAGGTCTCTGACACTCAGAGGACTTTGACTAGATGGGCTTCTCTTGGGATATGAGACTTGCCTTTCGTGAAGTTTTTCCACATGAACTGTGTAACTTCTTTCAGGTTAGCAAAGTGTCCCCTCAACTTGAAAACTCTGGACTCACGGGATGAGAACGCTTCCTGGCCCCTGTGCACAGCTGGCTCTGAAGCTCGGGGGGAGGTGGCCCGTAGCTGGATGCAGGAGCCCGGCTCTCTTTCCAGTGTTAGTCGTGTGGGGTGTGTCTCTCACATCGATGTTTCTCTCTCTCTCCCCCGCCCCTCCCTTCCACTCTGTCTGAAGATGCAAAAACGTCCTCGGGTGAGGATAAAAAATAAAAAAAATAAATTAAAAAAAATGAAATCTTTCCAGTATTAGTCTTGAAAATGCTCTGTTGCAGCTTTTCAGACCCAGGGCAACATTTCGGAAAACCCCTCCTGACCCTGACATCGGCTGGTGCTTCCTCCCTGCTGGCCAGGGCCTGGTGGAGCCTCACGGGGCGTCGCCGGGGCCCGAGGCAGCCCTGCTCCGCCAGGCAGGCCCCGGGAGAGAGCAGCCTGCTCCCCAGCCTTCCAACAGAAGCCGGCGGCTTCCTGTGCCCGCGGCCACCTCGGCACCTCGGCTCTGGGCTCAGCCACTTGCCAGGCTTGTCGTTGTCCCCTCCACACTTCTAAACCACAGAGGTTGTGTTGACTTATATTCAGTCCCTTCTCTGGTCTCTAGTTCTCGGAGGCAGGTGAGGTTGGTATTGGTCCCATTTCATAAAAAGGCAACTGAGACATCATACGATAAGCTAGTTGCCAGGTAGAGACCATAACTCTGGTATTTTTGCTTTTGAGTTGAGAGCCCGATGGGCTTCGTGACCCACTGGAAGGACAGCCGCTCGGTGAGGGTGGCTTGCTGGCTTTCGGCTCCCCCTCGGGGCCTCCTGCCCTCTGTCGTGAAGACAGTTTCGCGTCTTGGATTCAAACTGGGTAAATGAGCCTTAGCGATGACGCTTTTTAATTTCATGGATCAAGCTAGATAAATGAGCCAAAAAACCCTTTTTTGGGGGAAAAGGGTGAATTTGAAAGAGGAAGATGGAGATCAGGAATGTGAACCAACCCGAGGGAGACCAGGGTAGGGAAGACCTGATGCTGGTCACTTTCTCCCCTCATTCATTCAGCAAGTGTCTGCTCGCTCCTGCTGTGAGTGAGGAAGTGTGTGGCCCGGAAATCAGGCTAGCGGGGGGGGGGGGGGGGGGGGCAGCGGGAGCAGCCGCGTGGCTAAGGCAGTGGGGTGCTGGTTGGTAAATACAGGGGGTGGGAGGCAAACAGGGAGTTCTGTAGGGGCAGGAACCAGGAAGTGCCCTGTGAAGTCAGTGGCAGCTGCACGAGCGACTGCACATGACGGGTATCCAGAGGCCCCTGTGTCCCTTACACCTAGTGACTCCTTTAACCCTTACGACAACGCTGTGAGCTTTCACAGAGGACACGCAAGCAGGGAGGTCCAGCAGCTTGCCCCATGTGACTTGGCTAGTGGGTGGCAGTCTGTGCTCTCAGCCACTGTATAGAGTCTCAAGGCAGGTGTGGGCCGGGCCTGCAGGTGGGGCCGGGCATGAATGGAGCAGGTGTCGGTCCGGGATTAGTGTCCGCGTGTCCCAGGCCCCACTGGCGCCAGCACAGTGTCCTTGGTGAGCCTGGAGGGACCCTCTGGAGAAGTGGCTGCAGGGCTTGGGCGGGGTGCCGAGGGGTCTCCTCGTCGGCCAGCGCACCCCGTGACGGCAGCACTTGGTCCTCACGCCGCTGCCAGGACCTGTGGCTCCTGCTCTGAGGAAGCAGCCGGTTCTCGGCGTTTCCAGGTTTATGCGCGGACTGTGATAAGCTTTAATCTGGAAGGATATGTAAAGCAGCGAAGCGACGGGTTTTTTTTTCACACTAAAGACTGTAGTAGTGAGATATGGAAAGTATTATAAATGTCAAGAATTTTTAGTGCTGTGGTTAAGCGACACTCTGAGAAGAGTGTTAAAAACGGGGACTGGATTCTGAAAAGCAGCCAAAATAGTGAAGAGCTTGAATAGAGGGATGTACAAGGAGTAATGAGACTGGTGGGACAGGAGCAGAAGAAGGCATCAGTAATTCCTGTACATATACGGAGTCCGGAGATGTTCAGGCATTAAAAAGCTGGAAAGTTGAACCATTTTAATTAGTGAAACTGCTTTGATATGAAAATGCAAATCATTTGAATATGTTGACGTTTGGGCTCATTACCGTCCTAGACCTTTGTTAGTGAAACAGATTGAGACCCCTGGAAATCTTCTTTAAATGGAGGCTCCCAATTCACTTGCTGCTCGATGCCCACAGTTACAGGAAGTGCCCAGACTGGTCTGACCAGCACCCGCCTGCCTCTCCATTATCTCCAACCTTCCAGTGGCTTCTTCCAGAGGCTGGATGGAGGTCCCGGCCAGAATGGGTTCCGGGCTCACCATGAGCTGGAGGCCCGAGCTAAGCTGCAGTGGGCTTGCAGGGGTGTGTGTGACCCAGCTTCCCTCCAGCGGTGCCATGTGACGAGAGAGGGCTTGGCTGGCCCAGGCCGGACCGTCCCCCAACACGAGCAGGCTGGGAGAGCAGGCAGAGCCTCTGGGCACCCCAATACCACCGTGTTGAGCTACGCCTTCACTTGGTTGATGCGGTCGCAGATGCCTTTCTCAGTCTTTCCCCGTCGCTGTGTCCTGGGCATGGAGGATTCTTGATACTATTTCTGCACAAAGTTCCTCATCTGGGCTCTGGGATAAAAGTCTCCTGTCTCCTGCCCTGTGCTGGAGGTTATGTGCTGGGCAAATATGTGAACCACCGAGTGGCTGCAGTGTGTGCAGGGCTGTGTCAGCAGACTTCAGTCAGTGACAGGACCGAGCCCACGACACTCCCCACCCACCCCCGTCCCCTCCGACACACTCCGAGGAGGGGCACGGGAAGGGCTTGGAGCGTCCCGTGACCGTCTGCTTTCTGCTTTCAGATCCCACTCAGGATGCATCCAGGACAGGGACTGGCAGGAGCCTTTTGGATGGTCCCCCAAGAGTGCTTCAGCCCTTCCTGCCGAGCAGAGCCAAGGCGGCGGTGGCTCCCCCCAGCCTGCCCGGGCCGGTGAGGAACACCATGCTGGCCGCGGCCCTCTTCCCGGAGTTCCTGAAGGAGCTGGCCGCCCTGGCGCAGGAGCACTCCATCCTCTGCCACCGGCTCCTGGGCGACCTGGAGGACGCCTACTGTTAGCTGCTTTTCTTTCTTTTATTTTTAAGTAGGGGTCTTATTTTTTAAGGTTTTAGTGTCTTGACTGAATGTTAAATGCAAAGCTGCTTACAAAAATTTCTACTTTGATATTTCCTGACAATACTTGATTTGTGGGGAGGGACTTTTCTGTGCACCTCCTCTCTCTCCAGCTGGGTCTGTCCACCCTGCGCGGCCCGGAATGTAAGGCTCAGAAGCTGGCTGCTCCCTGGGCAGGTTTTCTTTGCTCAGTTTTCCTTCCTCAATTTTTGTGGTTATTATTCTCCCCCATCTTTGAATCAACGCATCTTGCAGCGTTGATCACACGGAGCGAACATTGGGGTTCGGCGGTTTCCGGGAGTAGCCCGTGCCAGAGGGCGGCTCCGCCGCAGGTGAGGAAGGCAGGTCGGTTCTGGCCCTTCTGCACTGCGGCCTGCGTTTTATAAAAGGGGGGATAAAGATGGAGCCCCGTTGCCGCCATCTCGTAAGCACACGTCCGTGTCCCTTTGCATTGAACGTCCAAGACTGTTCGTCCCACGCGCTGCTCGTGGCGCGGAGATCGCGGGTCTCCGCTGCCCGCCGGGAGTCAGCCGGGTTGGAGAGTCTGGAACGCAGGGACATTTTCTTGCTGCTGGAGAGATTATTCCGTGTATCACCTACACTGAAAGTAGCCTTACCTTAAGTCAGATTTGCACAAAATGAAACACACCTATGCAAACTGTTGTTTGGTTTTTAGGAGTTTGCTTGGAAGAAAGCATGCTATCATGTACTTGCATAAGAAGACAGCCATCGTTATTTTGTAAGGTGTTTTATGAAAACATTAATTTGTGATGCTATGTCATAGTAGGTTTTTGGGGTGTGTGTGAGGGGGAATGTGGAGTGAGGGGAAAAGATAAACGAAATGCAGCCTGTAAAATCATTGGTATTTATTTTACATTTTGCTTGCTCTTCCTAACATGTTGCACTGTGTAGAGAATAAGGAACTGTGCCCCTACTTTGGGAACTGGGACGGAAATGCAAACAGGTCGCAGGGAGCCCCGCAGAGCCAAGTGCCTGCCCGAGACTCTCCCTCCTTCTGAGTGATGGGGTTTGTCAGAAGACCCCGAGTGACGAGCGAGGGCCTCTCTGCTGCTTCTCAGCCTGCTCCAAAAGGTGTGATTACGCGAAGCCACAGTCGCCTCAGACCACCACCAAGAGGGGAAACACACATAACTGGGGGCTAAAAGTGAGACCCTAATCCAGTGGTGCTTATGGATATTCGCTTCTACTCCCCTCTATCTGCGCAGGTGAGAGGCACCTACAAGGATGAGCCTCCCTGTTTGGAGGGGTGTTGGAAGCCCCAGCTCTCGCTGTTTCTGTGGGTGTCACTGCTGAGCTCCGGGGTGGGGAGGGGCAGCCACAGATACATCTATGGTGGTTGTGTCCCAGGAGCGGGTTTGGTTTTAATCAGCCTCTGGTGCAGGAGGGAGCGAGGAAACAGTTACACCTGAGACCCTGCACCGCGGAGGCTGCCCTTCTGTGTTTCAGGGACCTCGAAGCAGCTTTGTGTTGAGAACGCGTCAGCCCAGGGAAGACGACCCAGATCTGGCTTGGGCTGGGTGGCTCTTAGGGAGCTAACCTCACAGTGTTTCCAAATCTAAGCAAGAAACCAAAGACACCAATTCATTGAACATTTTTTACTTTAAATTTGTCTTGGAAAATGGTCTGCCCGGCTGTGGTGGCAGCAGTCAGAGCCCAGGCCCAGCAGACCGGCCGTGCCGGGCTTCCTGGTGCCTGCTTGTATTCCACCACCAAGTCTCCGCGGGGAAGACGGGCCGAGGGAGGGAGGGAGGGAACAGGAAGGTGGAATGTAAGCTGTAAGTCATTATCCTCTCCTTTGTTTTGCACAAGTATTTATCTTCCAGTTTGGACTTACCAGGTATATAAAATGTTAAAGTCATGCCTGGAAACAAGTCTTTAAGCTTTTAGGTTTGATTTTCGCTTCTTTCCATTATCGGGTGGTGGTGTCGATTCTGCTTCTGGAGTCCGTATTGCTTTATTATAGAACTCCATAGACCTGTCTGTGGAAGGTGCCCCTAGGGGGTTGATTTTGTGCCTCTTAGTATTTTTTAAAATAGGTATTAAAGTAGACTTAGTTTACAGGAGACAGAGATGGCCAGTGTCTGGGTGGGAGGCAGGAAAACTAAGTTCAGTGTTGGGGTGCTGGTAGCAAACTCACATCGGTAACCCTCCCCACTGGAAACTGGAAACTGGAAACTGGTGTTTCTGAATCCACTGCAGCCCTTGTCCAGAGCACTGTGTCCAGGGTTTCTCGCCATGAATTCAGAAACCTGACCTGCAAATACCGTGTAGAGCTGGAAACCCCATCTGGTTGAGAGAGACAGCCAGGGGGTTAGGTAAGGGTGGCTCAGGGAACGGTGCGGACTCGCCTGGGGGAACTGCAGAACCCTGGGGCTGTAAGTAGAAGGGCCGATCCTGAGGGGTTTGGAGGAATGAACACTGGTCTAGAGAAGATCCGGTACAGCAGGTGGGTGACTGTGGGAACTTCTGGGTGGGAAAAAATCCTGGTAATGAAGTAGAATTCCAGTCATATAATGGATGAGGCCCTTAGAAATATCTGTAATAAGTTTTGGGGAAAAATCTGAGAGACATCTGGCATGATTTAAAATGTGGCCCAAGAGCCCTGGCTGGTTGGGCTCAGCAGTCGGAGTGTCAGCCCTCGGACCAGAGTCATGGCTTTGATTCTGGTCAAGGGCACCTACCTTGGTTGTGGTTCCATCCTGGTCTTGTGGGAGGCAACCAATCGATATGTCTCTTCACGCTGATGTTTCTCCCTCCCTCCCACTCTGTCTGAAAATCAGTGGAAAAATATCCTCGAGTGAGGATTAAAATAAATATAAAATAAAACGTGGCCCAAGAGCATAGACACTGTTCCGTGTGGACAGGCCCCCAGGTCCAAGCTGTGCTGCTGGTGGCAGACGCGGGCAGCGCCTTGGGCGGCTCGGGGCTCCTGGGGCATCAACGTGGACCCCAGTTCATAATCGGGGTCTGAGGTGAGTTCAGATGGAGGGATTTTGGTGGGAGTATGTAAGGGCACTGGGATATTTAAAACTGATTTTTGGAAATGGCCAAGGAAATGTTCTTAAATTTTTAAACAAAGAAATTTCAGGTTGAGTTTAGCCTAAAATACAATTTCAGGGGCTGAGAGGAGGGGATTAGTTTCTCGGCCATGAAGTGGGGATGCTGGAGTAACCAATTAGAGGTGGGGTTTTCTTGATCAATCAATGGATACTTCCTTCTTCTGGTATTTACAAGAATTATAAAATTGTCCCCATTTTTCTTAGTATTAAATGGGTGGGCAAAAAATAACACAATAATACAAGAATAAACTCTGTTTCACATACTCACTGCTGTAAACCTACTTTTGCCCACCCCAGTATTTTAGAAAATACTGGGTGTTAGGGGTTGGAAGTGTGTCTCTGTCCCCTGCAGGGAGGGTGTGCACTCTCCAGGCCTCAGGAGTGCCTGTTCCTTAGCAAGCGGCTTGCATCTTGGCCCGCTGTATTTCGGAGGGCTTCTAGAAGCAGAGCGAGGCCTGTGCGTCCTCGGTGGCCTGCCCCAGCGACGGAGTTGTTCTGGGTGTCTCGACGCAGCGGGGCTGCGTGGTCGTGCAGGCTGATTCCCGGATCTGTGTGGAGGTTTGGGATGCATCCTGATCCTGGCTCAGTGTGTCTAGGTTGCTGCTTGGAGGGAAGTGCTGCCCCGGCAGGGGTGGGACATGTCACTGATACGATGTTAAATGTCCACAGCATCTCCAGTTCTCATTTAAGGGCAGTTCAATTTAATTGCTAATTACCAGCCCTGTATTTACTGAAATGGCTGTCACGCTTGCCATTTTTATGAAACAGCAATTGTAGAACAGCTATTATTGCACGCACTGCTTCCAGTCACCGGCCAGGCGGGGTAATTTGCGGCCGGGAACCCCAGCCAGCTCGCAGCGCGGGCGCTTCCTGGAAACGGCAGTCCTCTGGTGGCTGCGGGTGGTGGCTGCGGCCCTTCGGCCCTGTCACTCCCCCGTCACTCGGAGGCTCCTCAGGCCCTCCTGCCGTAGCCGTCAGTCTGTGAATCACACACCAGTTCTCCATCAGAAAACAGCTCAGAACAGAACACTGTCAAGCCAGTTTATACTTTTTTTTTTTTTTTTGAATATGGTTTTTATTGATTTTAGAAAGGAAGGGAGAGGGAGACAGAAACATTGATCAGCTGTCTGCTGCACACCCCCTCCAGGGATTGAGCCGAAACTCGGGCATGTGGCCTGACTGGGAATCAGCCCAGTGACCACTCGGTGCACGGGACGGCGCTCAACCACTTGCCCGGCTCCACTCCACCCCTAAATGACATCACTGAGGAAATATTTAAAGGGAATGGAGTTAACTCTTTTTCTTCTGTTTGAATGACCATTTCATAAACCTAATACTTTTTTAAGAAAGAGCTCTTGGGAGATGAAGCATTGTTTCTAGGATAATTTTGCCTCAGTAAAACCTCTCTGTCCCAGCATGTCTTAGGCCATTACTCATTTTGGAGGACAGAGTATCCAGGCAGCTCACTGGGTACACGGGGCTTGCTGAGAGCTTTCTGGTGAGTTCTGTGGGGAACACAGGGACACGGTGGGGAGGGCCTTCAGGGCTTTGGCCTCTGTGTTTAGAATCCTCACGTGAAGAATGACTTGAGGTAGGACGGCCCTGCCCACCCCACTGGGTTCCTGTTCACACGTGAGCACACCTCACTCACGGTCACCCACACACGGAGCCAGACTGCTGGTGGGTTCTGTCAGCATGAGTTCGATACATATTTCAGGCACCTTTGGGGAGCTTGGATTTACTGCGTCGCTGCAGAACCTGACAAGAAGGATGGAAGCTCTTAGGCCAGATTATAAATTTCTCGGAGCTGAGGCTGCAGAAGTCTGTGCTGCTTGGAGTGTCAGCTGCCTTTTCGTTGGGGCAAGTCTGCAAAAGGCCCCCCTTTGTGCCCTGGAGACATTTTAAAAGAGGGAATTTGGTGCTGACGCTCTTAATTGATTTTTGCTAAGTTGTCTGACTAAGGAAGGCAGCGGAATTGGATTTCAATCCCTTTCCGTCTCACAGTCTGGGGTCAGCGCCCTGCTCCACCCACGGACACATTTGTCTACATCTGCTGAGGAGGACGGCAGCCGTTCCCATACTGCTGTTGGGAATGAGTGAAGGACGCGGCCGTGCAGATTTAGTGGGTTTTTCCAAATAGTCACTATGTAGAATCCTTGAAATGATGCAGCTAAATTCCACTGAAATGAGAAATATAAACTGTGGGTCATGGCCACAAGCTGTATATACCCAACTAGCTCAGACCCTTAGGAGGATGTGTACTTTCAAAAATTTCATAGCCTTCTTCCAGATTAGCAATGATTATAAACAAGAAGGTGGGGGTGTGGAGCTCAGCTAAAACATCCTTAACTTGGTATAAATAACGATCAAAGGTCTTTTTTCCTGGGCTACCTACACCCTGAAAGGTAGGGATGGAAGTTCACCTCGGTGTCTAAGGAAGAGTCCAGAAGCTTCTTCCTCGAGGACTGACAACCCAGCACATTGGCAGCGCCGACCACTCATACGAAGGAGCCCCACAGAAGGCTGTCCATTTACTGCTGTTCTATAAATTTAATGAACTTCTACTAAGTACTTACTTTGTGCCAGTTAGCATGCTGAGTTCTGAAGCTGACATTCCGACCCTTCCACCATAACCAGCCAGCCAGGCACCCCCCTCAACAACACAACACACAGTTCGGGCCTGACCGGTGGACTTGGGGGACACCCATGTCCTAGCACAGCCTGCAGGTGTGTGGATGCTAATGACAGACGGCAGTGGCTTCACCTATGGAGCCAACTCATACATTTTAATGAGATTTGCCCTGAATAGCAAAGAACCAGACGGAATTCATACTCACGCAGAGAACTACATAGAAATGAATTTCACTGAGGCCCCTTTCCAAGCAGAGCCGTGACTTCGTGGATTTCTTAGGCTGCTGTGTGAGCATAGCTTCCGGATGTGTAGTCAGGTTCCAAGTAAGATATCTGAGCTGTGGTTTGACTTTCTTTCTCTCATAAGCAATGATACCTACATAACAGTCCAGTTTTCAGGAACTCAGGACATAGCAGCCATCAGAGCTGGATGACAGGCAGCATGGTCAAGATCAAGTGGTTTACGATGGCATGTTTCTCGGGGAACGGTCAGTCCATAATCGAACTTACACTTTGACAACGCTGTGGTAAACCTTCCCCTGGCTGCCCTCCACCCCGTTTAAGTCATCCCTGGATTTAAAATGGTCGGGAAAGATCCTCCAGGGCTTCCTGCCAAGTGTGACGACCAAGCAGCCAGCCCTTTGCAGAGTAACGACCCCACCCAATTCCACCCTCCCACTGCCCCTGCCCGTTGTGACTCCGACGGGCAGAGAGAATGGACTTGCCTCTCTCTCTCGAAGAGCGTTAGTGAAAATGTTTTCCTTTTCGGCCCAGTAGTTGTCAGTATTGTGACAGAGTGTGAGGGACACACAGCTTCCTGGGTGACATAACATATTCCCTCATAATTCTCAGCCAGAGGGACGCTGCTCCCAGTGCTTGTTGGGAAGTCCTGGGCCAGCGCCTGCGGCCACCAACCGCTACCTGGTGATGGGGGAGGGGCGCCCGCCTCCCGCGCCACCGGAGCCTGCAGCGGGACAGGCGCTCTTCCTGGTGGGCTGAGGCAGTCAGAGCAGGGCTGCCAAGCATCTCCCTCTTATTTATGGCACAATTTTACACGTGCTTCTAAAAAACACCATTTGCAAAACAGGTCTTTAAACACTGTCAGAGGTAACAAAGACATAAAATGAACAAAGGGACATCCCAGTGTGATAGAAATAGTATTGTCACAAGTACAGGGCGAAGGCCACCCAGCCTCCATGGAGAGACTGTAACTGCACCAAAATTACTGTTAAAGGTCAAGATTCTGATTTGCCAGTTTATAATCTTATTCTTTCCAGGCAAAACAAATCAATTTAATATTATAGCTTATTTTTATCTCTTTCTGGCCTGAGGGGGGTGGGGATTGTCAACTGCACAACCTTTGAAGTGTAAGTTAATTTTTTATGTGATATTTCAGTATATATTTTATTGATTAAATTTATTTGAAAAATTCTGTTGTCTATTTTACCAAAAGGAAAAAAATGCATTTGTTCTCAGAGCACTGCCTCCTGGGGTCCCCGGGGAGCTGAATGGACACCCTCACTTCTGGTCAGTGGATGGCGACTAGTACTAACACCTGACACAAGGCTAACTCCTCCTTCCCCACCCTCAGAGGCCGCTCTGAACACAGGAGGTGGCTGGCACTGTCAACGGATTTGTCCCGTCTTCCTCTTCCTCAACCAGACGCTGGTCTTGCGCGATCACTGTCCCCGGCACCCAGGACAGTGCTGGGCCTGGGATGCGCTCAGAAGCACTTGCTGGAGGAACTGCAGAATGAACTTGTCTTAGAAAGGTGACGCCCCAGCCCGTCTCGCTGAGCTCTGAACACTAAGCAGGAGACGTGCAGTCTCCCAACCTCGCTGCGCGGTGACAGCCGGTCTGCGGTCGATGGCGAGCGGAGGGGAGGCAGTGGGGGGGCTGCAGTCCCCCGGCAGGGGCCACGTGGCTCACGATGACAGCTGCTTCTCCAGGATCTCCTTGATCACGGTCGGGTCTGCTCGGTTAAGACTTGCTTTTCGGACCAGCCCAATCAGCTTATTTATAGCTCTGGGGTTTCCCTTCTTCACATCCATTACCTTACAGGACAGAAACCGTTTTAGAGGAGAAAATAGACTCCTACCTAAAAATCCTAAATTAAGGTTTATATTTACCAAAACTTAAACTGTTCCTTTTTTTAGTATGGGAGCGGGAAAGGGGGGTTAAGTTCCGGGGGCGTCTGGGCTCTGTCACAGGAGATGCCGCTCTGCCTTCTGACCAGACGGCGGAGGGCGGTGCGGCACCACCCGTGACCCCCCCGGGCAGCTGTCCCCCGGGGCCACAGGGCTCCCAGCCCTCCGGGGCGGTCAGCGCAGCAGGCTCTCTTTCTCCCCGGACGGACTCGTCCCCGTTGCCTAGAAAACAAGCCCACGGAATGGCCTCTCCCGGCCACTGGGCTGGGATCGGAGGTGGGGCAGGCCCCGTGGGGGCAGGGCGCTGGCCCGACCTGCTGCCCCGCGAGTGCCGGCGCTCGAGCTGTGGGCCGTCTGAAACTCAGTGGCTTCACCAGTCACCAGGGCTGAGGCAGGAGGACGGGCTGCCAAGACCAGTGCAGACCCGACCTGGTCGAGCCTTCCGAGCCGTGTCCCCGGCCAGCTGGTGGGTAGGGAGGCTACTGTGAAAGCCATGCTGGCCTCCTGTCTCCGCTGAGAACTCTAGACAGGACGCTGATTAGGGAGGAGGGATGCTACTCACTGCAGCGTTTCTATTTGTTCTGCGCTCGGAACAAAAAATGACTTGGATTTTCGTCTAGGCTCCAGTTGTGGAGAAAATCCTTAATTTACAACGCTTTTCCTCCCACCTCTTAAAGGCACGGAGCTAAAGTGAGTCCCTCGCTGCCTCCCCTCTGCGGTCCTGCGGCTGGTGTATCACCGAGGCCCCCCTTGTGCAGGGGAGGGCGGCGGGCCTGGGGGTGCACTTCGGGTCTGGGAGTTTGAGAACGACCCTTCAAACTAAAACTCCACAGACTGAACTGCATGGGTAGATTTCCCTTTTTCTTAGGCAAAGTTTTGTTTCTAATATTTACCCAATGTCACCTCTTGACCTTAACTGAAAACTGACAAAAACACTTAGGGAATCACTGATGAAAGGGGCCAGCCAAGGGCAGGTGGGGCCTCTAAGGGCTGCGGAGGGGTTCCTGGCCACGCCCCCGGGCTGGCTGCTGGCCACGCCCCCGGGCTGGCTGCTGGCCACGCCCCCGGGCTGGCCCTCCTCCGCCCAGAAGGCCCTCAGCACCCCGTGGGTGGTCATTACCACTTGAGGGTGTTCCTCCAGCGTGGCTTGGCAGAGCTGCTCCAGGGCGTCTGGATCCCGCATCAGTTCCAGCCTCTTCTCTGAAACGATCTGCGCTGCCGTCTTCCCTTCACCCCTCCACAGTTCCTCCAGCACCTGCAGGCCGGAGGCGGGACACGGCAGAGAGGCAGAGAAGCAGAGAAGCGAGGGGTCAGCGAGCACGCGGTGAATCCCCACTGGGGGCTTGGCCCGCGGGTGGCCTGCCGCTCCTGGAGCACCTGCGGACACGGCTGCTCTAAGGGCATGTGGACACACCTGAGCCGCGCCCTCAGCAAAGCCTGAGGCTGCACCTGCAGAGACAGGCACCCCTGGCAGGCAGGGGCCGGGAGGGGTGCGGCCAGAACTCACAGGGCCCCCGCTGATAGGAGCCAGAGGGCCAACACAGCTCTGTCTCCTGTCCACGGAATTAACTGAAGTGACAGTTTGGTGAAGGATGGGGCCTCACAGGCTGAAGGAAGTAACCACTGCACTTAGATGAGGTCCAGAAAACCCAGTCTGCTGGGAAACATGATTTTAGGGGAGCAAGGAAGTGGTCCCACAATGAAGATACAAAATGGAAAACAACTAAAAACATAAATCACAATCTGTAGAGACCTGGATCCAAATCTGGATCCAAATCTGGCTAGGGTGATCACCAGTTAATGGCATTTGTATTTTTCTACTTATCAAAGTTGGAAAAAAGGAAAATATATTTAAAGAACGCATTTTCCAGAGCAGCTGTCCTCATTCCTCTAGTGTGAGCTGGCGGGTGGTGTCCCCTGCGGCACCCCTCCCTCTCGGCCTGCCGTCAGCACTGACCACCCCGGGACCACCCGGCTGAGGACGAGCCCGCCCTCCCAGAGAAATAGCTGGTCAGTGATTAGCACACAGTTCCTGTCAGCAGGCAGAGTGGGTAAAGGCTGTGCTTGCCTCCTCCCACAACCACCTCAGGATCACGACTAAGTGACAGGAGCTGAACACAAGTCCTGGAAAGCAGCAGCCACGCCGAGATGGTAGGGGGCAGAGACATGGAACTGAAGGTCCCGTGTCCACGGGTGGAGGTCAAGAACGGGAGGGTTCTCGGCTGCAGAGGCCCCCCGAGGAGGAGGGAGGGGTCCCTGTAGCACCTGGCTGTGGAGAAGTGGGGGGACTGCCTGGGAAGGAACAGGCTGCCGGGGACCACGGCGTCCCTCGAGGGCCAGCGCACGGACTCGTTCATTCAGACACACTCGCTCTGGGCTCCAGCACAGCGGCAGCAGCTCGGAAAGCACCAGGCACAGGGGGTGAGGAACTGGGCTGGCCGAGGGGCGGGAGGGACGGGTGCTGGCAGAAGCCACTGCTCCTTTGTGGAGCTCCTCCGCCACCCGGCCAACCTGGCAGAGTGGCGCCAAGTCTGAGCTCTCCACCTCCATTGGCCTGGCTAACACCGTTCACCCTGCCCCCATGCTTCTCTGAGACCCCTCCCCCACAACTTGCTCGCCTCCACGCAAGTGGCCTGCCTTAGCTCAAGCTGTGGACATTCCTAAAATCTCTCAAAGGTCCACCAACCCCAAACAAGCAGCAGCCAGCTTTGGCGTGCCCTGTACCTCTAGCTAAGGGGTTCCAAGCCTGGCACAAGTGATGGTCAGTCTCAATTTGCTTTGTAACTCCCATCAGGTGGCCGCAAGCCTGGTATAAGCCGTGCCAGTCTTGGCATTAATGTAGCCTCAACCAAGCAGCCACCAGCCTGACCCAAGTGGTGGCTGGCCTCAGTACCCACGGTACCCACCAGTGGGTCTCAAGCCCAGCACTGGTGGCAGCCAGCCTGGGTTCACAGCAGAGCCTCCGAGCCCAGCACAAGCAGTGACCAAACGCAGATCACCTAGTAGCCCTAAGCCAGGCAGAAGCAGTGGCTGACCTTGGCCTGCACCAGAGCCCCTCCCCAGGAGGCTCCAGAACCCACACACCTGGGGGCCGGCTGCAGACCACACCAGAGCACCACCCAACCAGCTTCACAAAGGACAACCTGAAGGGCAGACTTGGCTGGTACTGGAACCCCTATACAACAGCCCCCAAACAGCCAAAGCAACCCTGAGAAGGAAGAACAAAGTTGGAGGCATCATGCTACCTGCCTTCGGGCTGTAGACAGGGCTATGGTGGTCAAGGCAGTATGTTGTTGGCGTGGGGACAGATGTGTTGACTGACCTCTGACAGGGGAGGAAGCAGTGTGCAGTGGGGTGGGGACAGCTCTTAGGTGGATGGTGTGGAGAAAGCTGGACAGATCCATGCAGGGCAGTGAGGCTGACCACGTCCTTATTCTGCACACAGGAATGAGCTCAGAGGGACTGGGGACTTGGGTGTAGGACCTGAGACCATGGAGCACTTAGAGGGAAACGGGCGGTAAACCCTGACATCACTCTTAGCAATATGTCTCTGGATGTGTCTCCTCAGGCAAGGGAAACAAAAGGAAGAAAAAACCAAATGGGACTACATCAAACTACAACATTCCTGTGCAGAAGGAAACCATCAACAAAACGAGGGGACAACCTACCGAATGAGAAAAGACATTTGCTGATGATACATTCGATGAGGAGTTAATATACAAGACATGAGGAATTCATACAACTTAATACCCCAAAACAATCCAACTGAACCCCGAATGGGCGTGCAGGTGGACACGCAGAGGGCCAGTACCCACGTGAAGGCAGTGCTCGGCGCTGGCCGTCATCAGGGAAAGCGCAAGGGAGCGCCACAGTGAGACCGCCTTGCGCCTGTCGGGATGGCCAGCATCAATAAATCCACAAACAGCAGCTGTTCCAGAACGTGGGCAGGGAGGAGCCCTCCTGCACTGCTGGTGGGATTATACATTGGTACAGCCACTGTGGCGGTTTCTCAAAATATTGGTTATGGAACTGCCATATGACCCAGTGGTTCAGCTTCTGGGCATTTATCCGGAGAGGTCCAAAACACTAGTTTGAGAGGATGTGTGCACACCTATGTTCATTACTTACAACAGCCAGGTGTAGAGGCAACCTAAGTGCCCATCAACAGACAACTGGCTGAAGATGTGGTACATATATACAGTGGACTATTATTCAGCCATAAAAAAGAAGGAAATCTTGCCATTTGCAACAACATGGATGAACCTAGAGGATATTATGCTAAGTGAAGAAAGTCAGACAAGGACAAAACAATATGATTTCATTTATGTGGAATCTAAAAGTCAAAATAAATTCCAAACAGAACAAACTGATAGTTGCCATACTGGGGGTGGTTGGGATGGGTGAAAAAGGTGAAGGGACTAAGAAGTACAAATTGGGCCCTGGCCAGTGTGGCTCAGTTGGGTGAGCATCATCCCAAGCTCCAAAAGGTCTCTGGTTTGGTTCCTGGTCAGGAAAACGGCCTAGGTTTTGGGGCTGATCCTCAGTAGGGGGCCTTCAGGAGGCAGCTGATCGATGTTTCTCTCTCTCCCCTCTCCCTTCTTTTCTCTCTGAAATCAATAAAAACATTAAAAAAGAACAGTACAAAGTGGCAGTTATAAAAACAGAAACAGGGATGTAAAATACAGCATAGGGAATATAGTCAATAATACAGTAATAACTATGTGTGGTGTCACGTGGGTGCTGGCCTTACTGGGGTGATCACTCTGCAAGGTGAATAAATGTCTATCACTATGCTGTGCACCTAAAACTAATACGCTGATGTCAACTGTAACTGAAAAAAATGACCACACAGCAAAGCAAATGAAGGGGAAGGCGCTCGGAGTCTCAGCAGCGCTCAAAGCTTTCCCCAGTCTGGAAAGAAACAAACGACAAATATTATCACGGCTACGACAGGCAGTGTCACTGCCGGACACCCACAGTGATGTGGCCCAGAGGTGTCTCTGGTGGGTGCTTCTGTGAGCTCCCTGAAGGGCGCCTCTGGCTACCACCAAACAGCCTTGGCTGCCTAGGGAAAACCTGTCCCTCCTTTTAGAAAAATACAGAACATACATGCCTCCAACTCAACTTTTCGAGTATTCCTTCAGCTTAATAGTGAGCAGGCACCGAGAGAGGGGCACCCAGGCGGGGGAGCCTTCTCTGCCCTCAACCAGCTTCCCAGCACGGGACAGAAGGAACAAGCCACAGTGTGGGCCACCCTCGGGGCTGCCACAGCAAGTCTGAAGAGTCTCTCTGCCCCTCCCTGATGGACTTTTCTTAAATTAAGACTTAAAATTTGAGAGAGACAAGTACCACATGATTTTACTCATATGTGGAATCTAGTGACCAAAAACTAACAAAACAGACACAGACTCAGAGAACAGACTGACAGGTGTCAGAGGGGAGGGGGTTTGGGGTGGGGTGAAAAAGGTGAATGAAAAAAACCCACCTCAGACAACAGTACAGTGATTATCAGAGGGAAAGGGGTGATGGGAGGCAGGAGGAGGGAAAGGGGGACACATGGTGATGGAAGGAGACTTGACTTGGGGTGGTGAACACACAGTACAACACACAGATGATGTACTATAGAACTGTACACCTAAAATGCATAATTTATTAACCAATGTCACCCAATAAATAAAAAACATAGTTTCTAATTATAAAAATTACTACATGATCACTGTAGAAAATAAGAAAATATGAAAAAGGTAAAAAGAAATCACCTGTATTCCCATTCCCTCAGGATAACCAATGTTAGTATTTTGGAGTTTTCCCTTCCCATCTTTTTCTTTGTTTTGTAACACAGTTGTGATCATAACATATATCCAATTTATGACCTACTTTTATTTCACTTATTACAGTTTTTCTTATATTAAAAGCTAATATCCATCAACTATATTTATCATAATTAAATTAACCCCTACTGGTAGGTATTCAGACTTTGACCAATGTTTGCTCATCTCTGTAGTCTCTTAAAAAAGCTCCCAGTTGAAAATGTCCAACATTCAGACAAGAGAGTGGAGATCTCAGGAGACTCCAGACCTCTGGCTCGACGCGAGGATCAGAGCAAGGACTCCCACCAAGAATCTATGCAGCGCCCTCTGCAGGGAAAGGAGCCGGGAAGCTCAGCGGACGGCCTTGCAGGGGCAGCCTGCCTCTCAGGGCCCCTCCCGGGCCTGCGTCTTCCCTGCCTCCCTGTGAAGCAGCTGCAGCTGAAAACACAGAGCTGAGCCGAGCAGAGCTGAGCCAAGCGGGCCGAGCAGGGCACCAGCCTAGGCTGAGCCACAATGGCCAGAACAGGGGCGTGTGAAGCAGCTTGGGGACCACTGCCAAACCACACCGTTCAGAAGGGAAAGCAGACAGCGCCAGGACGGATACTTTTATACAGAGACTGGCTGCTCCCTGAGAGCTGGCCGGCGGGGCACAGAGGAGGGACGTTAGAGAAACACGTTTCAGTGGTCTCCAGGAACAAAGGGGAGCCTGGTGGCTGGAGTGTTTCCTGCTCTTGGAGTTAGAACACATCGATCGGCTTATTAACTTCCCAAGTTAGTCAAGTGGCCACTGCAGCCCAGCTCCAGCCCCCTGGCTGACACAGTAGACTCCATTGGTCCAATCCTCTGCTAATTCCTGTTTAAGACAGACTGCACTCCTGGCTGGAACCCAGCAGGGAGGGAGCCACTGAAGGGGACTGCGGGCCCCCAGGCCAGACTCCGCAGGGCTCCCTCCCCTGGCCCTCCTGCAACAATGTAATGGCCTCCGTGGTTGGCAGCCTCATGCTGCAGTATAAATCCTCAGCTTTTGTCTGTGTTTAATCACCACCCTGGGAAGTGCGCTCAGAGTACAATTGTTTCTGGCCAGGCATGCAGCTCCCAGGCTCTGCTGCTGCCCACCCAAGACATACATACAGACAAGGAGCTCCCAGTGCGGTGCTGGTCATCTGTGTTAAGAAAGGCCTGCCACAGCAGGGGGCAACACAAACCGGGACTGCCTAACTGCACCCTAACCACCGAGCCAGCTCTGAACCGGGCAGAAAGTCAGCCTCCAGCTCCCTGGGGACTGAATTCACACATCCTCTTACCTAGGAGCCAAGTATTTCTCTAAAGTTTTTTAAAAGTGTCTGGAAGCGCCCTGGCCGGTTTGGCTCAGCGGTTAGAGCATCGGCCTGCGGTCCGGAGAGACCCGGGTTCGGTTCCCGCTAAGGGCACGTATCTCGGTTGCAGTTTGTCCCCGGCCCTGGTTGGTTGTGCGGGTGGCAGCCACTCGATGTGTCCCTTCACATCGATGTTTCTCTCCTTCTCTCTGTTCCTCTCTCTCCCTCCCACTCTACCTGAACAAAAAATGGAAAAATGTCCTCGGGTGAGGATAAAAAAAAAAATAAATAAAAAAAAAAAAAAATAAATAAAAGTGTCTGGAAGGAAAGCAGGCAGGCCCCCCCGCCTATCCTGGGAGCGTCCAGGGTCACTGTGAGGGGAGGAAGACCTGTCCAGGGGCATGACAGGGAGGGAGCTGTGACCGTTAAGTGAGGGCATCCCCGCTGGTCTAAGGCGAGCACTGTGAAAGGCCATCCTTCTAAAAGCAACAGACGTCACCCCAAACCCTAACGAGAAGCAGGGCAAAGGTGAATGTGCAAAGAACTGAAGCACTAAATGGGATAAAGACATAATATCATTTGTATGCATGACATATAACACTGTCTACAAAGGTTCTTGTTGATTTTTGTTTAAAGCAGACCTCAAAGTAGACAAGAGGAAATGACAAAATGAAGGATAAAAATCCTATGATAATCTCAAGTAGATGCATTAAAAGCACCTGACAAGATACAACATCCATTCACGACGAAAACTCTCAAAGTGGGTTTAGAGGGAAAGGACCGCACACAATGAAGGCCACATGACAATCCAACAGCTCGCATCATACTCAGCTCTTCCTCTCGGATCAGGAACAATCAAGGAAGCCCGCTCTTGCCAGTTCTATTCACAGAGTAGTGGAAGGCCTAGTCAGAGCAGGAAAAAGCAAATAAAAGGCATCCAAATTGGGAAAGAAGTAAAACTATCACTTTGTGGACGACATAATTTTATATGTAGAAAACCCTAAAGACTCCACCAAAAAAACTATTGGAAATAACAAAGACAGTAAAGTTGTAGGATATAAAAATCAATATGCAAAAATCTGTTTGTTTCTATATACTAACAGTGAACTATCAGAAAGAGAAATGAAGAAAACAATCCTTTACAATCCTTATGAAAAGAATAAAATGCCTAGGAATAAGATTAACCAAGGAGATGAAAGACCTATACATGGAAAACTGTAAGACAATTTTTAAAGAAACCGAAGACACAAAGAAACAAAGATATTGCGTGTTCATGGATTAGAATTAACATTGTTAAATGTCCATGTCATCTGAAGGAATCTACAGAGTCAATGTAATCTCTATCAAAGTCCCAATGGCACGTGTCACTGAAATAGAACAAAAATATCCTAAGGTTTGTAACAAGACTCTAATAGCCAAAGCAATCCTAAGAAACAAGAACAAAGCGGGAGCATCACATTCTCTGATTTCAAACTATACTACAAAGCTATAGTAATCACAAAAGTTTAAGTAATACTGAAAAAAAATTGATTCTCAAATCTACCACCTTCAAATAACTAGCATTAATAACGATGAATACCATTCCAGGCATCTTTCCATGCATATGTATCAGAAGGATGGATTGTTTATAAAAAAAAAAAACATCTTTTTTTTTCACCAGAAATTCAGAAGACAAAGAAGAAATATAATAAAGCAAAACTACCAAGGCAATGATAGATAGGGGAGATTTCCTTGTGCAGTACATAATTCTCACCGTTCTCATCAGACTCGTTTCATTTTGCCTCATGGAAGCCAGATTCACCTCACCTCTGGTACACATGCTCGAAGTCTGTTCAGAAGCCAGTGTCTCTATCTGTATCTGAACCCAGCTGTCAGCATCCTCCACGTCTTCCCACTGAATCGATCGTATTCACTGCACTGGGTTTTTTCCCCTTTTATTTTGGTGGGGCAAGATGAATGGAAAGGGAAATATTCCTTCCTCCCCCTTTTCAAATGCTACAATTCATCTGCTCTTTTATATACATACATATACTTTCTGCCCTCAGGCCATCTCATCTTTCTGCTACTGCTGAGTATTGTCATAAACATTTGTATTCCTCTGACATCCAGGCAACCAAAAAAACCCTTTCCTGAACGTGGCGAGGGCCCTGCAGTTGTCAGGCTCACTTGGTGGGTAAACAGCTCTAATCAATTCCCACCTCCAGCTTTACAGCGAACTGGAGCTGGCGGGTGTGGGCTCCACGGTGCCTCCTAATTAGCCAAAAGCAGCCACTTTCCAAAGCCCCACTTTGTCACCTGCCACTACCGCGGGTGTGTATAACTATTAAATGCAAAGGCACCATTAAAGTAACATTAAGTTTCTGGCTGCCTCATTGACAGCTGCAGATATCTGACGTGGAGATCAGGTGGCCACCTTGGTGTTCTCTCTTTCTGAGTGCTCACTTGTCTGTTTTCAGAATTCCAGGAATCTTCCACCCACCCACCCAAGACTGTTAGGTGGAGGTAGAGATGAGGTGCAGGCTACTTTTGATGATGATGCTATTTTTCTGTTTTCACGTATTCTGGGCACATGTTTAAAATCTTCTCTAAGCCTGAGGCAGGCTGTCTGACCTCACCCTCCTCGCCGAAAGACTGACCTTCAGGGGCAACCATACAACAAACAAACATGAGCCCCTGAAACATGGCTGGGAGCCGGAGGCCAGCAGAGCCTCCCAGAGCACGGGACAGGCCCCACAGTGGCAGGCCTCGGAACTGCAGGCCCCGGGCCCTTTACACAAACATGTTTGGGAAACATTCCAGGCAAAGCCAAACAATAAGTATTCCCCCTGGTTAGCAAAGAGGAGAAGCAAATCACCTGCCCAGCTCAGCCAGGCTTTATTTTATTTGCTAAATAAAACATTTCTACCTTTCCGAATACAAGTAGCACTTATAAGCATTTACGACTTCAACTCTGAAATTCACTTGGTGATGGCATCTGAGTGTCACAGAAAGTTGCTGGGCCAGCAGAGCAGTGGACATACCTGTTTGGCAGCTGCTGAAGAAATTGCTTTCCGGTCCAGGAGGCTGAGAAGCTCGGCCAGGGCAGAAGGTGTGACGGGACTAGCAGCCCCCGAAAGGAGAGAAAAGAAAGTTACATTTCATGTTGTCAGCATATCTGCATAGTTTTACAGAATTGCAACACTAGATTTTATAGGTTTAAATAATTAAACCCCCACCCAGGAATGAAAACAACAGGCCACTGGGGCTTTATTTTATTTAGTTATTTTATGTGTTCGGATGCAGCTGATTTGTGTGACTGGCGGTTTTCCTTTGCTTTACCACCAGCAGTAGCAGCTGCTGGGCGGGAGCTGGGGAAACGCTACCTCAGTTTAATTAGTCAAAGAGAGGAGGTGGCTGCGAAATTCACGAACCATGAAGAAGAAAGAAAAAAGCCCAATAACGAAGTATTTGCAACGGAAAGGTCAGCCTAAACTTTACTTCAAACAAAACAGCTAACAAAGCCACTTTTTTTAGTGTTTCTCTGCAAATATTCATTCTTTTTCATTGTGAGAACTTTTCTTTAAGGGACCGCAATGACTACCCATCCTTACGGGCATCTGCATAGACCGTTCTCTCCTGCAGGCTTCCTGGACACAGAAGGGCCCAGAATTCATTATCTGTACCTCTAGGACATGACTCGCTGACCAAGATTCCACGATATAAAAGGCCAAGGAGCAAACAGATACATAAAGTGTCATTAATTCACCCTCAGGGGTAGGAGCTGAGGTGTGTGCCTAGATTAGTGAAAATACAAGACTGAATTACAGATTATTTCTTTTAAAAAATATGGTTTTGCTACTTCCAAACACACACAACAGTGAGGCTAATGAAACACTGTCTACGTGAGGGCACCGCGGGCTGGTCTGAAACAGAAGGTACATGGCGTGTCTGGGTCAACGAAGCTTCCAAACTGCCAACGCCGCTCCGAACACCTGTTGAAGCCTCGGCTGCCATCGTTCACTACTGATTTCTTTGTACACCCCTCGATCATGAAAAGTTGAAACTACCGCTTAGCCTCAGCCAATTTCCATGCCTTTCAAACCAAGTGAGTGCAAGGTAACCAGGTGTCCTCACTGTACAGTCTGATTCAAGTCCAGTGAAACCTTGTTAGGGTGGTTCATTCTAAACAGGTAACACATGGAGGCAGCCCTCATCCTTAAAATGTTTGTTGATCCCAAAGTACATATGGATAAAGGTGATTCCAAGTGGAAATTAGGCTTATTACGTTGGTATCGGGAACGTCTGTGAAGCCCCCTGATTAATCACAACAGGAAGAAGGGCAGAGAGCTGGGAAATAAACTGATACCATTTTTCCAAACTCCCACCCTTACTAACAAGAAATGCAGAATCAAGTTTCTGGGATGTTCTACAATCCTAGAAAATACAACGGCCAATTAGAGTGTAGGCAGTGTAGAACCATAATCAGCACCGAGGCGGAACTGGATTGCTAGAGCATGCAAAAAAGGGTCCCTACTCCCATGAGTCCATGACATAAGGGATACTGAGATAGAGAAGGCCAAAAATAAAACATAAGGTAACTAAAAATACTTTGTCTTTCGCCTAATGACCTTGATTCATTAGTTAGGTGATCAATTTATGCTATAAAATAACTCCACTGACCTAACAGCACTTGGGACTTCTCAATCCCTGTTTTATACCCACAGTGCTTGACACACAGTAGGTCAAATAATATTTGTGTCACGGAATTCTTCCTCCCCACAGGGTATCCGGTGCACTGCGTGCACTAGCTCCAAGTGCACCGGGCGATGATGAAGATGCCCCACCCATCGGGCAAACAAGCCATCCCTATGCAGCACGAAGGCAGCAGAAACATGCTACCGGTTGCTGCTGTCAGATGCCAGTTCTGGAGTGGGCACGTCTCCAGCAGGAGACGATGACCCGGAGGGTGAGGGTCTGTGTCTGGTCTCTGCCCCTGGTCCACAAGCACGCCCGTTCGTTTCCATTCCCACTCCTCGTCTCCCACTGCTGTCGCCCAGCCCTCTCCCTCACCAAATCCTCTAAGGCAGCGGTACTCAGCCTGTGGGTCGCAACCCCCTTAGGGGTCGAAAGACCATTTCACAGGGGTCGCCTAAGACCATCAGAAAACACACATTTCCGATGGTCTTAGGGGAGACACGGCTCCTCTCTCCGTCTCCAGGCGGGTCCCCCACATGCAGATCCGCCCACATGCAGCATGAGGAGCTGTGTTAAAGGGTCATGGCGTAAGGAAGGTTGAGAACCACTGCTCTAGGGCTTCACTAAATGGCCACCTTACTTTCAGTGCAGAGACTGGAATTTCTTAAGTCAAATCGAACAGGAATGAAAGACACAAGGCAACAGATGGAGAGGAGTTTAGGAGAGCGAGGCTGGCCATTGCTTTGGCACTTAATACACCAAGATGGCCAAGAGAAAGGAATGACACAGGGCCCACTATGTGCCAGGCACTTGTACTTTCCTCTCAAGACCCCTGGAGGCAGGTAGGGTCATTGTCATTCAGCGAGGAGACTGAGGGTCAGAGAGGGGAGCTCGCTCATGGTCACTGCCGATTAGCAGCTAAGGAAGGAAGCGCACGGCCCCATGTGGCCACACTAATATGCGCACACGCCCACTGCGAGCAGGCGGCTGGACATCCAGTTGGCACTGTACAGAGTTAACACTTTTGAGCAAACGACGTCTGGAATCATATCTCAGTACATGCCTGTCTTTTCCACTGTGCTTCTCCATGGCCATGGATGCTACTGAGACCATGACACACCCACCAAACCACACCACTCAGTCACTGACATCCTGATCTGCCCAGACCTCTACACCCTGGCTCAGGCAGCTGACTCCTCAGCAGGGTGCAAGCTCCACAGGGTGGGGTGACGCAGTCCAGAGGGTGAGGCTACTGCACTCTCCCAGGCTGATGCTGTAATGAGGGGAGTGCTCCACCCAAGGAAGGTGGTGTCTGCGGTGTGGGAGAGAGACTTGGCACAGGGATCCTGGCAGCTGTGCCTTCTGCTCTCTCCCCAGAGCCACAAACCTCAGTCTCTCTTCATGTGACTCTAGTCTACTCCGCCATCCCTCTGCTGGAGCCCAGGGTCAGTGAGAGTTTGTGTTGGCCCTTTAAGAGGGCTCCTGTGTCTCTAGCAGACTTCTGTCTCTCCCCAGCAGACAGAATCCCCGCTGATTTTCACAGCCAGATATAACGTGGGTGCCTCTTCCCAGCTCTGGAGCCTGGCTTGGGGTTGAGGCCCCTCGCTCCTCGGGGGAACCTCTGCAGCTGAGACAGCCCTCTGGCCTCTCAGCCACGGCCGCCTGCGGGAGCAGGGCAGCCCCTTCACGCCCCCACCGTCCCACCAGTCTCCATGTGCTGCTCTGTGAACCCCTGGTGGTGAGACCTCTCTTCAGCCAGTCCTCAGGGGTTATTCAGGCTGACTGCTCTCTGTTTGAGTTGTAGTTCCAGTCTGGTCCTGGGAGGAGGTGAGTGTGACATCCACCTACTGCACTGCCGCTGGGATCTCCTGCTGTTTTCTTAGAGGTCTGTAGCCTCTCAAACTTGTAAACTCCTCGTCTTATTCATCTGCAGGCCCCAGCACAGGACAAGGCATTGTGGACAGTCAGAGATGTGAACAAATAAAAATTCAGACATCTGCCTGGCCGGTGTGGCTCAGTGGTTGAGCATCGACCCATGCACCAAGAGGTCGCCAGTTCGATTCCCAGTCAGGGCACATGCCCAGGTTGTGGGCCCGATCCCCAGCTGGGGGCATGCAGGAGGCGGCCAAGTGATGTTCTCTCATAGATATCTTTATCTTTCTCCCTCTCCCTTCCTCTCTCTCTAAAAATCAATGAAAGAAAAAAAAGATTTAAAAAAAAGGCCAGACATCTGAATTTTTCAGATGTGATAAAGGACAGCTTCAGAACTTAGAGTCCACAGGGGTGTTTGTTTGTGTCTTGTCCAGAGATACTGAGGGGAACAGGGAGAGTGAACCCTGGCTCTGCCCTCTTCAGCTGCTTCTGGACACAGAGTTCACCCCAAGGAATAAGCAATCCCAGACCCCACTCACCTCTCACTGACAGCAAGGTTCTGTTGCTTTAAAAATCCCAGAAAAGTGTTGAGGACCCAACTAGTCACTTTTTTGGGCTCTGCCCTAGTTTCTTTGATCACATTTTGGAAGAACTCCAGTAGGCCAACTTCGTTCTGTAAAGAAAGAAAATTGTATAAAACCTCCAAAAAAAGTGAAAGATCAGCATTCTGAAGGCAAATCAAACTGCCACCCTCTGCCTCCTGAGACACTGACTTGTTCTTTCCTAAACACAGAGATGTCACCAGAAAATTCTGATCACCTTCAGTAATAGCAGGTATTCTTCACCTGTCAGCATTTCTCAGAGGGAGGACATGTTCCAGAGCCGCAGGTGAAGGACCCGAGGACGGTGAAGCCCCGCCCCACACTTCATGCCCCTCAGTGTTGGCCTCGCACACTCTGTACCCTTCGTCCCTGGGCCCACAGCGTTCGGGCTGAGTTTCCTGTTCTCTTTCCAGTCCTGTCCTCTGCTAGAATAACAAGGTAAGAAAAGCAAATCAAGAAGGAACAAACAGAATATTCTACCCCAAAGTGGACTATAACTGTATTCATCTTTACATCATCCCAAGACGTGACAGAAATGGTTTTCAAGATGAGGAAGAACACAGTCAGGTGACCCACTTAGGCCACATAACAGCGGAGGGTGCGGCAGCTGCTAGGCCTTCTGAACCAAGCTGGGCGGGCGGACTGCTCAAGGAGTCCTGTTTGAAGAAGACTCTACCGCTCCTCCCCCGGGCCCGCAGCTCCGGGCACAGCGGCCGTGCTGTCCTGTTCACTCTGTAAGCAGAGCCAGCTCAGTGCTGGCCACACAGCCACTTGCTTAGTGTTGGTGGTGGAATCAATGTCTCCCATCATCACGTGTAGTTTCTCAAAATCACAGGTGAACATCCATTCTTCAGCATACTGTTCTTACCTTTACACATTACGACTGCAGCCATTATGCACAGAATAACCCCAGGGCACTATGGATTAACTGCCGGCTCAGGTGGACTTGGCAGAACCAAGAAACCTGGCTTAGTCCATCCCTTGTCCTTCAGTAAGAAAATAAATACACGTCCCACTCGCACAGGGGAGGTTGGAGTTTCCAGGGGGCACATTCTAAGTAGCAGATTCCCCAACCTGCCGACACTCGAATCAAACCACCCTCTCCTTGAAATATACCTTTTAAACTTTATGCTACAGGTAAGGCTCTCACCCTCACCCCTTTCAAAGAACCTTCATTAAACAAAAGAACTTTCTGGAAAAAAGAGCTACTAGGAAGCAGCAAGACATGTTACAGAAGTGCTCTGAAACTTAGCTATTAGAGCTGCTGTCACATACAGACAAGCACACGGGTGCTCAGGTGGAAATTCCATAATAAAAAATCTACATGACCTTTGTAACAGATACGTCCTCTGGTGACAAGCCAACCGAGTCATCCCACAGCGTCTCTTCAAGCCAGCGCTGCTCCTCCGCTCGCGCTGACCCGCAGCACAGGCCCCCCGCCAGCCGGCGCTGCCTGAACATCAAGGCAAACGCGGCAGCGCCAGGAGCAGGTTCTGTGTAACTTATGGAGAAGGATTCAAACCTCCACAAACCACCGGGGAGGCAGAAACCGCTACCCAGCCCAAATCAGAGGGAGCGCTCCCTTTGTTCTGTCCCCGGCAGGCGGCTGCGGGTGGACAGCGCTGTCAGGAGGGCGCTCTGCTCTGCGAGGAAAGGGGCTCTGCCTGCGCCTGGAAATGCTGCGCGTGGACTTGCAGGCTTGGCTGAGTCGCCAGGACGTGATGAGTATCTATTCCTCTCCCCTGGGTGGTTTATCGGATGGATAACGTGGCAAGTCAGCTTTCTGTTTGTCTTCTTGTGGCAGTGCTGGGACGGAGCCTCTGCGAGCCGGAGCTCTGCTCCCCGGGGATCCCCGCTTCCGCACACAATCTGAAGTGGACACAAGTCTGCGAATGTGACTGGTGGCTACAGATGGGGCGAGGCTGAGCCGCAACCGCCCCCAGCGGCAGCTGACTTCTTCTGCCCAAAGGAAAAGGAATCAATAAAAAGTCACATATGGGTGCCTGCTCTGGTCCTTCAGATCAGAAGCCCACTTTTCAGTGGGGGGAAAAAAATCACAAAACATGCTAGGTAGCATCTTCTCAGTTTTTCTGGGAGACAGGCAAATGCTAAAAGGTTGGCACAAATCTCAGAAGTCCCTGGTGCCTGTGGCGGTGCAACCATCTGGTTTTCTCAGGCAAACAGTGGGCCAGTAATTCCCTTACATAAAAACCGTATTAAGAGCAAGGCAGAAAGGCCACCGCATTCGGGGACCCTTCAGGTCCTTCTCAGAGGCAACAAGCAAGCCTTGGACTCAGCACTAATCTCTCCTACATCAGGCAGAGCTAAACTTCAGCGACGCGGTGCGTCAAGTCTGGCCCACTGTCCCCTCAGAGACAGCTGGAGCAGAACAACTGGTCCTGCCCTGGATGATATCAGACAGTCTTTACAGCGCTATGCCGGGAAGCGTCCTTCTCACATTTTAATCAAATTTCCCAAAGCATTCAATTACGCCCGGAGCTAATGCCAAGTCAGCTCTTAGCCGCTAACAGGGACCCTCCACTGCTAATGGGCCTGTCAGCTGGTCGGCGCTGGTGGGATCAACCACCTCGCCCTCACTGCCTGCTCTGGGAAGGAAGCCCCAATTCACCCTGGGACCGGCCCTGGAAGCAATGTGCCCAAAGCTGTCGTTTGCATTCTGCCTTCAGAGATGATAAAATGTCGGAAGGCTGTCCAGTTGGAATAGGATGAAGGCTGATACCTCGGTTGCCACACCCAGCGAACCTGATGACAGGGCAAAAAACCTGGACTATATTTAGAAGTTGAATGGCGCGGGAGAGACAGCTGCCCGGGGCAGGTTCAGAGAAGGAAGTGCAGAAGTACGAGCTGAGGAACAGCTGGTTATGTGGAAGGGCGACCCGGCAGCGCAGCGACCTCGGCTGGCAATCCGGACTAGTTAAAAGGCTCTCAGGAATATTTCTAGAATGCTTGGGAGACACGGAGATCGTAACCAGCCCTGCGGGGAGATGCACACAGCTGCTGCTGCTGCTAATGATGATGATAATACTACTAATAGTAGTGATAATAATAATGTTTTAACAGCAATAATCGGTGTCGGGTCCTGTTCTACGTGCTTCCTCCACATTAACTCATTTAATTCCAACCACCCTAGGAGTGTAGGCGGCAGAATTCTCTTTTACAAATGGAGACACTGAGGCACTAACTTGCAAGAGGTCACACAGCATGAAAGCGGTCGACCTCTGTGGTCTACGCTCCTGACTGCCATATCCCGCGGCCTGTGATACAGGAGTGTCCTGCCCTTGCCTTCCCGGGATGGAGTGCCAGCGCCAACGCCAGGTACCATGTCCCGCGGCCTGGGATGCAGGAGTGTCCTGCCCTTGCCTTCCTGGGACGGAGCTCCAGCGCCAGGCACCATGTCCCGCGGCCTGGGATGCAGGAGTGTCCTGCCCTTGCCTTCCCGGGACGGAGCGCCAGCGCCAGGCACCATGTCCCGCGGCCTGGGATGCAGGAGTGTCCTGCCCTTGCCTTCCCGGGACGGAGCGCCAGCGCCAGGCACCATGTCCCGCGGCCTGGGATGCAGGAGTGTCCTGCCCTTGCCTTCCCGGGATGGAGTGCCAGCGCCAACGCCAGGCACCATGTCCCGCGGCCTGGGATGCAGGAGTGTCCTGCCCTTGCCTTCCCGGGACGGAGCGCCAGCGCCAGGCACCATGTCCCGCGGCCTGGGATGCAGGAGTGTCCTGCCCTTGCCTTCCCGGGACGGAGCGCCAGCGCCAGGCACCATGTCCTGCAACTTGCCCATCAAAAGAATGAGCTTTCCCACCACTGCCATCTTTTATTGGAGACCTGCCAGCCATTTAAAGGTTCTTAACATATTAAAAGTGTTGCAAAGACCCTTGGCAATTAGCTCAGAAATCAGGAGAACATGGGAAGCTCGCTGCCTTTGCCGGTGTACACAGACCCCCTGGCCCTCTTCGCTGGGGCACGCCACACACCTGTCCCCAGACCACAGAGGAAGACAGTGGTAGCTCCCCAGCCTCGCTTCTGCCTCCTCCTCCCCCCTCTCGCGAGTGGTTACAGTGAGCATGTCCAAACCAAGACAATGACAATTCCGAAACACCTTCTGACATTACACAATAAATTCCATTACCGCTCATAGTTTTGATATTAAGCATTCCGTATTCTATTGCACGCTCACTCCTGTAACATGGTAACTCGTGTGGTTTAGACGTAACTGGGCAGGTCGTGCCTGTGGTGGGAGCGGGAGGTCGTGCAGGAGACCCCGCATCTGTGGCCTGAGCGACAGTGGCTTCGGCTGGGCTCTCCCATGTCACGACGTATCATTTTGTGGAGGTACACACAGGGATGGCATCCACCGGCCACGTGGCAGGGGCATGGGAGTGAGCAGCCACTGAGCATCCCTGGAGACACTGCTAGAAGGCCCAGCACATGACCATCAGCGGGGGCCTGTAGGTCTCTCATTCCCCTGTGAACTTGGCCATTCTTACCATGTGAGAAAAACAGAGCACAGATCCGCCAACTTTGGGAAGAATGGCCCTGAAAATAACTCCACATTTAGTGTAGGGATGGAAATGGAAATTGGGTAAGGGGTCCGACTGGTGGTTCCGGGACAGAAAGCAGGAGTCATAGCTAGATTAAGGGTTGGAATGTACAGCGGGCTGGTGACTTGGATCTATGCTATGAATGAGCCCACCCTCTGCTTCTCATGGACACAGGAAGTGACTGTGGACATCTCTCAGTGAGCGAACAGAAAGAAAGACTCTTTCAGAGGAGCCTTCAGTGGGAAAACAAAAGGTGGTCAACTGGTGGTCGGCACAGGAGACCCCTCTCCGTCTGAGTATGTCAGGAGGAAGCCAGAATCCTGAGCCATCGGTGCCACTTTAATATAGGGATCTGCAGAAGTTCTGAAATTGACCCAGAGACACCCAGGATGTGCCCCCTAGTCTGTCTCAAGGAATACACAACTAGGGAGTTCCTAGTCCTATTCTGGTCCCCACGATTTCCACCCCCAGGTCATGTTCCCAGAAGGGTTTGGGAGCTCCTAAATCTGAGC